TGGGCCAAATGGTTCTTATCTGACGTCACATTCTATGTTTCTATGTTTCTACATAGAATTTATTATAAAGCCACAGGAATACCCATTATGCCAGACCCATGTTCATTAATCTGCCAGTCAGCCACAGCTCTTAGAGTACATTATGAAGTAAAAACTTTTAAATTTGTTTAGCTATATGTCTGGCTATCACTCATTTTTGTAAGCATATTCCTTCCAAATTTTATATCTTTTTTAAGATATGAAATATAATCTTGAAGGAAAAACTCACAGTAAATCTCTAGATACCATGGAATCCAGGGGAACCTGGAAATCGACACTGGCAGGATGAAAAATGCAACAGCAGCCAATCTCTCTACATCATAGCCACCCAGTGAGAGCTCCTAAGGCGAATCCGACTGGTAGGAAACAACGGCTTTTTCCAGGATTGAGATCATAAAAGCGCAGGTCTCTCTCTGCCCAGCGTAGCCAAAAAGATAGCGGCAACAGAGAGCAGCCTAGAGAAGATACCTCCGGGGGTTACTCCTGGCCTTGCATCTCCACATGGGACCGAAAAGACAGCGGTTGGACTACTGTGGCTGACTCAATGCAAAGTGCTACGCAGCTGAGACTGCTGTTTGGCCCACACTCTGATTGGCTACATCAAGCCCAAAGGGTTGGAATAGGGTAAGAGGCATGGACTGTTCCTGGGACTCTTTGTTTTTTATGCCTAGCCTCTGACTGATTTTTGTTTAACTTTAATGCTCTGAGAATGCAAATGCCTACACGGGGCCCATACAATGGAGAATGTCTGTCCTATGTTGAACAAGCTGACATAGCTAACTTGTATTTAGATTCTGTGGATTTGCACTAACCTGTTCATCAACCTTGCATAATTCTCTCTATACTCATGCAACTAACTACTCGACTTACTTATAAAAAGAGATGTTGTATCAATATCCCAGATGAATAGGTCTTATGCTGGTTTTATGTATCTTCTGTTATTTGCAACCATCTCAATAAAAAATACAGACTGACAAAAAAATAACTATAAAAAACTTAATTAATTAATTAATCTATACCAGGGGTTCCCAAACCAGTTCTCATGGCCAACCAACAATCCAGGATTTATGTATTTCCCTGTTTTATTCCAATGGAGATCCTGACAAAAACCTGAACTGTTCTTGGATCTTGAGGGCTGTTTTGGGAAACAATGATGTAGAGGTATATGAACTAATATAAGATTCTAGCAAAACACCTGCTTCATTTTGCTTTGTTAAATAAACCGTGTTGACAAAAGTTCTTTGCTTGTACCCTGTATTGAATCATAGCCACCATTCTGAAATATCCAATTAGGCAATGGACTAACAAACAAGTTATTTTCCTAGGACACGTACACTGATCAGTCACAACATTAAAGCCACCTGCCTAATTGGATTGATGCTCAATTGGATTGACAATACCTTGTACTCTTTGCCATGCTCCTAAAACCATTCCTGAACATTTTTTGCAGTGGGGCAGTATGCATTGTCCTGCTGAAAGAGACCACTGTTATCAAGGAACACTATTGTTATAAAGGTGTGAATATGGTCTGCAACAATCTATAGGTAAGTGATACGTGTCAAAGTAACATGAATACCAGGACCCAAGGCTTCCCATTGCTCGGAGCATAACAATGCCTCTTCCGACCTGCTTTCTTCCCATATTGCATCGTGCTTCCATCTCTTCCCCAGGTAAATGCACCCGGCCATTCACCTGGTCTAAAAAAAAAAACCAGTGAGTCAGAACAGGCAACCTTCTTCCATTGCTCCATGGTCCAGTTCTAACGCTCATGTCCTCGCTGGAGGTGCTTTCGACAGTGGACAGAAGACATCATGGGTACTTTGGCCAGTTTGTGGCTACGCAATCCAATACGCAGTAAACTGTGATGCACTGTGTGTTTTGACACCTTTTGGTCATGGCCAGTATTGAGTTTTTCAACAATTTGAGTTACAGTAACTCCTCTGTGTTAGCGGACCAGGCTGGCTAGTTTTCACTTCCCACATGCATCAATGAACCTTGGATGCCCATGACTCTGAAGCCGGTTTATTGGTTGTCCTTTCTTGCACCACTTTTGGTAGGTACTAACCACTGCATACTGGGAAAACCCCACAAGACTTGCCATTCTGGAGATGCTCTGACCCAGTCGTCTAGCCATCACTATTTGGTCCTTGTCAAACTCACTCAGGTCTTTTCACTTTCCCATTTTTCCTCCTTACAACACATGACATTCAAGAACTGACCTGTTCACTTGTTGCCTAATATACCCCACCCCTTGATAGGTGCCATTGTAACAATATAATCAATGACTACTTGACTACTAAGAAACATGTCTTCGATAGCTCTAACTTCTTGTTTCCTAGTGTAAACTTAGATCATTACCATGATCATTGTTTTTACATTTCGTATAATTTTAGCATTGTATTGTAATCATAAAGAAAATAAAATTGAAAAGTTTTTTTTCCTATGGGGTTCTGGGGCACACAACTATACCCTCTACTTGCTCATGGCAGGACATCACTGTAACTCTTCAGGCCCTTAAACCTGGCTGTCCCACTTTGGGATGATCCCTTTCTGTTTGCTCTATATATTATACTATTTGAAAAAATTTTTTTTTTTGCTCTAGTTTGCTTGGATTGTTCCTTTAAACCATATTGAATGATTTAACGCTAAACAAGAGCACCCAGCAGCCCCCCCCCTCCTCCCCCCCTGTGCTGCCCAGGTTAATGAGGAAGCATTAGTAGGAATTAGTGGTGGTAGCTAGCTGAGAGTGCCAGCTGACCACTTTCAGCCTATCTCAGCTTCCCATCGTTGGTATAAATTGGTATGATTAAAGAAGTGTGTAATCTATGTCTTAGCCATACAACCAGCGGAGATGGGTGTCCAGGAACCCTCTTTCATTTTTAAACTGTTGGAAAATGGTTTAAAACTCATGGAGGGATAGTGCCAGGGACTCCATCTGGAACTCCAGGTATTACAACCAATTCTGAGAGATGAAATGATTGTGACGCCTAGACTGTCCCTTTAAGGAAATTTTTTAACATATATTTTGTCTTTGCAGCATTGCTTCTACCTCTCTTATGCGGTATTTATCTTTTTTAAGTCTTCCTAGAATGTTGTGGTGACAAGGTGGTCCTTCGAAGGGTTAATGACTCATTTTGTGACTGCAGCATTAATTTCAACATATTTATTTAATACTGGTATTTATAAAGCGCCAGACATATTCCGCAGCGCTGTACAAGTGGGAAAAAGACAATACAATAAGAACAGACCGATACATATTATTGTTAGCTTGGATTAATCACCCCATAACAATTTATAATAACCTGCAAGGAAACCAATTTAAAGTGGAAAATGTCCCTTGAATTCCCATTGCAGGGTAGGTGTTATTTTGAATGTAGATTTACAAACTTTTATACAACTTCTCTTTATAAAAAAAAGGGTTGCTGGGTTTGGATAAACATTTTATTCTTTTGCAAGGAAAAAATATACGAATTTCTTCATCTTCACAAAAGGACCTATCAAAAGTGAAAGCAGAAACTACTTCCGTTTCCAGTTGGTAACCCCTCTGCCACACAGGGTTTAATTAATTATTATTTTACTTCTCCATTAGGCTTGCCTTTGACTGTTTCTTTTTGCTTTAAATCCTTCATCTGCAAATTATTTGTATATAATCACAGCAGGTTTTTATATTATATGTGTACGTTCGGTTTTTTGAAGTGGCTTATAAGTGGGCGTCGAGGGGCTGTTGAGATCTCTCTGTTCTGAGTGTCCATCTCTCTAGTGCCCCTTGTACTGCTTCTGGGAGCTGGGATGTGAAGACACCCTGACCCCAGTGTCAGTACAGAACTGCAGGCAGGTGAGCTGCAACCAGTACAGAGAGATCCCAGCAGCAAACCCCTGGAACTCAGGCATGAGATTCCACTACAGTTAACTCTTGAGATAAGAAACAGGAGACTAGGTGGACCTCACCTCACTATTAACCCCTTAAGGACACATGACAAGTGTGACATGTCATGATTCCCTTTTATTCCAGAAGTTTGGTCCTTAAGGGGTTAAAGAAATAAAGAAAAATTCATATAAAAATTAGTAGTGTGAGTATCAGTATGTTTGTGCATATGAGTCTCTGTGTGTGTATCTGAATGAGTGTGTATATTTGTACATATGTGTGTTTGTGTATGAGTACGTGCATATTAACATAAGTGTCTGTGTGCACATGAATTAAAGAGTGTGTGTGTGTGTGTGCACAGTTTAAAGGGTGGGGAGTGAAGAGTAAGACACACACAAAATAATTCTACAACTTGGGGGGGAGGTGGGGGTTCACATAATTTCCATCCAAGGTGCAATATAACCAAGGTACTCCTCTGTACTGCTGCATACCTGCTTGCGGTAGTTGGAAAGTGTTCACCAGTCATCCAGCTTATGACTGACACAAGAAGGACCGCTTCAGTGGACGGGATTGTTTATGCAAATGAGGCACAAGGGAGGGGATCTTTAGCTTCATTTGCGTCAGGGATGAGAATATGTGCGATTTTATTTTTTAAATCACCTTATTTAGACTAGATTTTGAAAGTCCCTTACCAATTCACCACAATTTACTTTTTAGTAAACAGACGCCTTATTTTAATTTTTTTTAACTTGTGAAGTTTTTAAAAAAATCTATTTATTATAGTTTATGATCAATTTTTTTGTAATTCTTTATTTTTGGTCATGCATGAGAATACAATGCATCCTACATTGCCACAACAGCAAATGCGAGGATCTGCAGAACATACAATGATACATGATGGATGATGTTTAGAACAGTTAGAGATATCATTATGCACCTTTTGAGTAAACAGCACGAAATTATGAATGAATGAATAATGAATGAGTGTATGCATATTTCTGAGTAGGCAGACGTTTCATTACACTAGATTATTAGGTAGCTTGAAGACAACAATAGGAGAAAGTATCAGTCAGATGAGAATACACTTTGGGATTTTTCATCCCAGATGGCCTCCTCGCCAGCAAGATGGCAGTCCATGGCTGTGTACCGTGAGACCCGCCTGGAAAAGGTAGTAGAGAGGGGCAAAGGTCTGGGACCTGCTGCAATAGTTGTAGTCCAGGTAGGTGAGAGCATGGTAGTCCCCGTGTGTTTGACTTGCGTTGCAGTCGAGTGCCCGCCACGGTCAGGGTACAGATCCTAATAGCCTTGCCGATCTTCGGGTGCAGTACCGCAGCTGCAGGCAGTCGGTCCCTGCATGTCGGACCCCGTGCAGTGATTTGGGAGATATGGTATGTAAGGCTAGGACTCTGGAGAGGTGTTTCCTTCTGTGGGTTGTGCACCTGGACAGGCTTGGTTGGAAAATTGCAGCTGCCGACCTCCGTTGGTCGCTTGTAATGCTGTTTGCATTGGTGTGGTGTGCTTCTGGCTTCTCTGCCACAATCTCGGGGCTGGCCCTCGGATTCCATGTGGGGTCTCAGTAGGTCTTGTACACCCTACCAAGTCAAAAGCAGGAATTGTACACCCTACAAAGTCAATGCCCTTATTTCGAGAATGCAGATACAGACAGACATTCACACACACACACACACACAGTTAAAGACATTCACACACATACATACAGATACACAGATACAGACATTCACACACATACATACAGATACATACAGATACACAGATACAGACATTCACACACATTCACACACATACATACAGATACACAGATACAGACATTCACACACACACACATTCACACACTGTTAAAAATTTTAATCACCCTCCTGTTTCCTACCTTTAGGTGCAAGAGGGTGACTTCCCTGGGGTCCAGTGGCTGCCTTCGGCTGCTGGGAGTCAGAGCTCCCACTCTGACTCCGTCCTCTCCGGCGCTCTCTACCCGCGCGGATCTCTTAGCTGGGAGGAAGTGACAGCTTCTTCCCAGTGCCAGCGGGCACTCTGATGTCATCACTGTGGCCTGGTCGCGCTCTTAAAGCGCCCCAGTGCTGACCGGGTCCCAGGTAATTCATTGCCATCAGGTGGCCCCAAGAGCATGGGCTCTTCAAGACGGTTGCTCTACGTGGCCGGGGCCGCACCACAATCTCGGCGGGCACCGCAGTCGCAGGGTGCAGCCGGGCCCAATGGAGTGAGGGGCCCGGTCGCAGCTGAGACCCCTGCGACCGCAGTAGTTCCGCCACTGCCCATATTTGTTTACTAAGATAGATGATTTTAAGTAGGCTTGTAAAATTTAAAACTGAATCTGTATTTTGTATATTATTTGGTCTTTACATTAGCTCCGCCACTTAGAAATGTTTGTTCCGGGTGTGCACCATTTCCCCCAAGTTACACGTTAAAGACTGTGGTGGGGAGAGTGGTTGCCTTTTATGTGTAATTCCCCCTGGTGTCCATTCTTGCATTTTGATTGGCCATCCTTGAACTTGTTGCAGTGAGTGTTGGGTCATGTGTTTTGTCTAACTCTGATGTAAGTACCAACTGTGTGTGAATGCTTGTGGGTGTCTATGTATGTGACTGTATGCATATTTATGTGAGTCTCTATGTATATAAGTGACTGTGTCTGTATCTAAGTGACTCAATGCATTGTATGCTTGTGTGTGTTTGAGGGGCTTTGTGGATAATTTCTCATCTTAGTGTATTTTATCCCCTATGGCATTAAATTCCAGCAACAGTTGGTACTAAACTAAGAAACTCCTGCGGTGTCTAGGTATGTGTATGACAGTGTGCCTGTTTGTATGGGGAGAGGGTGCAAAGCTTTGACTGGCTAGTGAGGGCAGCCAACATGTCACTCAGTGTGGTGCCCCAGGGGGGTGCATAGCTGGTTAATGATCCTGCCAAACCAGTGAGACAATCATAATATTTAATATAAACACACCTCAAATGTTATTTTCAGGCCAGCTTGGAAGCCTTATGGTCCAATCATGGCATGCTAAGCACTCTATGTATATCCCCTACACCTACTATCATTGTAGTGGGCTGGCACAGAATGCTGGGCTGTTACAGATCGAACGTGGTTTATTTTTTCAGTATAGTGGGCGGGGACAGAACGTTGGGTGTCACAGTTAGAATGTGGCTGTCCTCTCAGTGACCGCTTGCTGTGCTCGCTGTAGTGTCTGCATTCTTGGCCAGGCACAGCGCCGCACTGGGCACAGAGAGGAACTTGGCAGACACTTCTTCCTTCATTTTGGAGATTTCCCCCACCCTCAATACTAAAAAGAAAACTTCCTGGTCTTGGATTAAACTTCTGGCCGAGCCCTGGGGTGAGGAGTCTGTGAATGCCACCAGTTCCAGGTTGGTGCCGATTGCCTTTAAACAATATCTTACTAATGTATTGTGTTTCATTTTATGCTAAGCAGAGACCCAGGAACCATGTGCAGAATGATTCATTCTGTCTCATAGCACAAGATCTGCTAAATGTGGAACTAGCTTAGAGTCTGCCCAGTACTACACTCTGATTTCTTCTCAGAAACGTGTTATTAGCTTACTTTTACTGATACACTATATATAACAGCATGCTGCAAGTAGTATTTTATTCTGTTACTTTCTAAAACCAGAATATAGCAGTATGCATCTTCCATCTCAGGATATAAAAGTAGATTTCCTGTGGTATTGTATATCGTCTGTACAAGAACAAATGTGATTGCTATTTTTAAAATCTATTTATTCCATCTCTTAATTTGGGATATTTTACAGCCTCCATTCCTGGATACACAACATGATAGTTCATATTTTTTTTATTTTTTTTTATGTTTCCTTTCCCTACACCCCTTAAAAATATATGTAATGCAGGGTTGGTGAGCAATGTGTGTTATTACTTGTCCTGGTGTTACTGTCACTTTTTGTTAGCACTAACCTAATTCTCTGTAGCATAGTATTGATGTAGTCATGCTTTCAATCACTTTAAGTAAGTTATATTAGATTCACAGCAAATGTTACACTTTGGGCATTCCAGTTGTTGTGGGTTACATTTCCAGATGTTCTCACCTTGGTAGAAGAATTGAAATGGCTAAAGTTGACCACCATTCCAAATTATATGGTGTTAGCTTGGCAAATTATTCTTCAGCTTTAATATGAACTGTGATCCATTCCTCAAGTCCAAAATAAGTAACATTAAAGTAAAATGTTACTTATACTGTCAATTCTCGTGGTTTTTATAATGTTTATCTCCTACTGGGATGAAACTAGGCACCTTTATCTTCGCACCCTGTCAGTCATAGATATACATTTCTGTTATTGACCATAGTCAGTGAATAAGCAGAAAATGAAACACTGTTTATGTACTCCTCATTTGCATTTAGTGCCAGGACTGTGCCTTATCTAAACAAGACTGGGATGCAATTTACGAAAATATTTACATATACATTAAAACAAAAATTAGCATGAAATGAAAACACAGGTTATAGTTGATTTTCACTGTTTTATTACATTGTGTAGTTTTACAATTCAATATTGTGGTGACGTGGGAGTCTCAGGGCGCTGACCTCCATTTTTTTTGTCCATCTGTTTGGGAGCAGTTTTACAACTGATGATCTGGCTGGTCCCTGCACACTGTCCCTCTTCAACGGAATTAAATATGTGGCATGTAGAGTTATGCATTATCAATGTTTATTTTGTCTAACCTTGACAGAAGCAATAGGTTATGGGCACTGAGCTAAATATGCCTCAGTGCACACTGGGTGATGGAACAAAATGGTTGTGATGAATTGACAAGAGATGACAAAAACTAGACAAGCTGAACTATTTCTCATGCTCTGCTTATTGACAAAACCAGGAATTATCAGGAACATTTTAGGCCAAAGTAAACAAGCTGTGGAAATTCTTTAATTCAGTTATTTTTCCAGCTCCAATTTTTTTGGCTTAAAATATGCCATTCCTTTCTCAATTTGCAACAGTTTCCAGTTTAGTTAACATACTCAAATACATTTTCTTGCTAAAAGTTATGTTTTTGCAGACCTCTGCCTATATGTTTGTAAAAATCTGTTTATAGCTCAGTAGTCAAATTCGTGTCATACCGTGCATTGTATGTGGTTATTTCATAGCCTCTAAATATCCTCCTACTACCATACTCTCAAAATATGCTTAAAATTAGTAGCAGTTAGTACTTATATGTACAGTAAATAGAGGGTATGTGTGAATTATCTAGTACTGTCAGTTGTTGACTTACACGGAATTGAATCATAATGATTCTTTACCCAACCAACATACCGACCCAACCGGTCATCTCACATTACATTGCAACAGTTTTTTGTAAAAAAATTTTGGGGGTGGGGAGGTACATGTTTCCATAATAACCAAGTTGAAATATCTTTTCCATCTTCTTAAATGTGACCTGGAATTTGCATTTCCGTGTAAAGCTTTAGAGAAAATAAAAGTAGATTGCCAGATGTTTTAAAAGTACAGCTTCCATGATGCTTTTTCATGCTAAAGGTATTCTAAAGGCATGCAAAGCATCATGGGAGTTGTAGTTCTACAACATCTGGGGATCTACCTATCAGGCACCCCTACTGCGCTCATGTCTACCACCATGAATAAGAGCAGACAAACATAACGCCAACAAGCAACTAAATAAGTAGCTATGTTAATGGCTAACTAAATGAGCAGAACATCACTGGCCTGCAAATTAACATTTGAGAAAGGAGATGGTGAAGAGCCATAATTAGACCTGGAGGAACAGGTCCTGAACCTGGGCTATCTGTAAAAAGCAGAACATTTGAAATATATGAAGTTGGGTATTACATTCATGTTCAGTCATTTAAAGAGACACTGCAGGCACCTTCACTTCCTTTTCTTCCTAATCTTTGTCTTTATAATTCTAATTATAGGTGCAGCGATTTGATAAAAATAAATTAGCTTCAGATACAATTCCACATGCCAATTTAGGACATCACATAGGAATCCATACTACCTCATGCACTTACATTCTTTTATACTGAGTGTGCATATACCAAACAAGTCCTAAGTAACTCTTTTGGACTGTTTAAATGAGACAACCTGTAGAAAGGGACCAAAGCTTTTTGGCCAGTGTATGGAGAGCAAACTGAAACTTCTGTTAGCTGTCCAAGTTGTTTCATTAATGTCTTTCCATGAATAAAAAGAATTGACTGGTAATCCTTACAGTGAAACTTAAAAGACAAAAAGTTGACAAAATACAACAGTAAGATGTAGCAGACTAATTATAAAATTATGGAGAGCAAAAAACGGGTTGCAAGAGTATTCTGAGAACGGACAGCAGCTGAAATAGCCTGTCCTTCGGTGGGTCCACGCTCAGAACTCAAGCTGATTTTAGCTCATCTTGTGCCATTACAGAGAGAACATATCTGAAGCATATCAGACGGGTGCCACCCATACGGGCAGTCCATATCCGAAATGCCAGCAAGTTCTCTCTGCACGAGAGATACAGTAACCCCAGATGATCGTTTCAGCCTTGTTAGGTATCATCAGTAAGGCATAGCTGATATCTCTCTAGGCACCGTGAGCAAGGGGTCCACGTCTGGATTACCCTTTAAACTTATGGAGAGCAAAAAACGGGTCGCAAGAGTGTTCTGAGAACGGACAGCAGCTGAAATAGCCTGCCTAATTATAAAATGATCTAAAATTAATAATCCTCATAAAGAGATTGTTGTTAAAGAGATTGGGTTTAAAAAAAAAAAAATATTCCTTTTCTTTCACTCGTACATCAGTCACAATAACATCATGATAACATTATCTTATTTTTATACATGAGCCCTAAATACAAGTGGATCAGTTATGAATAATTATGGGGCTAGTGACGGCTCTGTTGTAAGTCAGGAAATAAAGTCAGAGTAAACATCTACCACTTAGAGCCAGCTGTTAATAATTAATTAGCTATAGATTTTGGATGCTTTTCATTGCATTAATTACCTTGGAGATTTCTCATTATTATTACGTTGTACTTTTCTGTTAACTCTAAGTATTAATTTGTAATAATTACTGTTAATATTAACAATGCATAGCTTCAAGGATTACGGCAACATTAAACATCAATGTATTTATTTTTAACGTTCGTGTTCTTTTTAAATTAAGGTAACCAATTGTTGTTAAAAAAAAGCTATAAATCGTACCTGTTTTCCAGCACCAAAATAATCTTCTGCAGTTCGATCCTCACATTGTGAGATTAACAACATGGACGATCCCTGCTCCAATCAGTTGGGTTATGAACAATGTGGTCTTTTTTTCTTTGTATTAAGCTTTATATATATGAAGGGGCTGGTTGAATTGAGAAAACTGGCCTTGGGTCAGCAGAGAGGGTAATTCCACCCCACTCTTACTCAGTCACTGCATGCCCAGCCAATGTTTCCCTTTTACCACTGCTGCTGAGGGCAGGCGAGAGAAGGTGGTGTGATCAATGCTTGGGAACGCAACTTCGGTGTTAAACTCCAGCCCCCTTCATTGAGATTAAGTTTTTATGAGGGCAGAGTTGTCATTAAAGATGATGTTTTTTTGTTTTGTTTAGAGCAGTGGTTCCCAACCCAGTTCTCAAGCACCCCCCTACCAGTCAAGGATTTAGGGATTACCCAGTTGTGTCCAGGGCCGGTGCAAGGAATTTTGCCGCTCTAGGCAAAAAATTTTTTGCCACCCCCCCATATGTCCTGCCCACCATGTGACATCACAATGCCCTGCCCATATGCTCTGCCATTCTTCACAAAGTGTCTTTTATCTGAAAAAACAGTGTTTACATTAAAAAGCCTACAGGCACAGGCTATAGACACCAGAACCACTACATTATGCTGTAGTGCTTCTGGTGACTATAGTATCCATTTAATGTGAGGTAAATTAGAGATTAGTGCCACTAATAATATATTGGATTGCCTACTTACCACCAGATGAGGACAAGAGGCTGATGATGGGCTCTGTCTGGCTCCACAGGTCTGGTGTAGAAGAGGCTCTCTGGAGACTGTTTTTAACAGTGCTCTCAACAATTAACGAACAGGAAGCAGCTCCATTTTTTAGGGCCCCTTACACAACTCAAGGTCTGGGCCCCCAGGGCTTGACCGTGAGTATGCCTACAATGCCCACCCATAAATCCACCTACATGGCCCACCCGTGAGTTCTCTCACAGGAAGTGGAGTGTATGTGATGTTTTATGTGTTATTGTAGAGGATGCAACGTGTGTGTGTTCTTATAGAATGTAGTGTATAGGGATACCAATTTCTGTAAGGGATGTAGTGTGTGTTTGCGTGTAAGGAATGCATTGTTTGTTTCTGGGTGTGTGTGTAAGGGGTGCAAGGTGTGTTTCTGTGTATTTAATTGAATGCAGTGTGTGTCTGTAAGGGGTGCATTGATTGTGTAATATGCATTTTGTTTCTGTGTGTAAGAGAATGAGTTTGTGTGAACGTAAGGGATGCATTGTGTGTTTCGGGTGTGTCTGTGTGTGAGTAGGAATGCATTGTATGTTTCTGTGTGTGTGTGTTTGTAGGAGGGATGCATTGTGTATGTGTGTATGTGTGTAGTGTAAAAGAGAGGGTTTGTGGGGTAGGATAGGGACTGAGAGGGGAGCAGCTCTTTATTTATTTTTAATTTTTTGCATAGTGCTCACCCTCCTGTCAATTATTGATTTCCCCTTCCCTCCTGTCCCTTAGTGCTCTCCCTTGGTCCCCTGTAGTCCCCCCTTGGTGGTCTTCTCACTCCCCCTTAGTGGTCCTCCATCCCTCCCCTTAGTGGACCTCCCTCTCCCAAACCCCTTAGTAGACATTCCCCTCCTCCCCCCACCCCCTTAGTGGTCCTTACCCTCCTCCCCTCTCCTTAGTGGTCCTTACCCTCCTCCCCTCTCCTTAGTGGTCCTCCCTACTTACCCCCTTTGGTGGTCCTTTCCCCCCTTAGTGGTCCTCCTCTCCCAAACCCCTTAGTGGACCTCCCCCCTCCCACAGTGGTCCTTACCTCCCCTCCCTCAGTGGTCCTTACTCCCCACCCCCCCTTCCCCAGTGGTTCTTACTCCCCCCTCCTACCCCAGTGGTCCTTACTCCCCCTTCCTCCCCAGTGGTCCTTACTCCCCCCTTCCCTCCCAGTGGTCCTTGCTCCCCCTCAACCCCTCCCCCAGAGGTGGTCCCTCCCCCCTCCTACCCCAGTGGTCCTTACTCCCCAGTGGTCCTTGCTCCCCCCTCCTCCCCAGTGGTCCGCCTCCCCTCCTCCCCAGTAGTCCTTACTCCCTCCTGTCCGCTACCCCCGATTGGTCCTTCACCACCCCCTCCCCGTGGTCGCCCCCCCTCCTGAGGTGGGGTCGCCTGCCTCCCCTGCCCCTGTGGTCGCCTACCCCCTCCCCTCCTTGTGGTCCATACCCCCCTTCCTTGTGGTCCATACCCCCCTTCCCTGGTGGTCCTTACCTCCCCCCTCCCCTCCTGGCCCTTACCACCCCCCTCCCCTCGTGGTCCATACCCCCCTTCCGTGGTGGTCCTTGCCTATCTCCCCTCACCCTGTGGTCCTTGCCTACAACCCCACCCCCCTGTGGTCCTTGCCTATTCCCACCCTCCCCTCCCCCTGTGGTCCTTGCGCCCCTCCCTCCTGTGGTCACTTACCCTATTGCTCCCCTGTGGTCTTACCTATTCCCACCCACCCCCTCCCCTGTGGTCCTTACCTATTCCCACCCTCCTGTGGTCCTTACCAATTCCCACCCTCCCCCTCCCTGTGGTCCTTACCTATTCCCACCCCCTCCCCTGGTGGTCCTGGTACCCCTGGTGGTACCTCCTCTTTCCTCCCGTATATAGCGTGGCCGGGCGGCACGGAATGCGAGACAGGAACCTCTGTTTCCTGTACCCGGCCGCCGGCGGACTGACAGGAAGTGCTCACTGAGTGAGCACTTCCTGTCAGTCTGCCGGCGGCCGGGTACAGGAAACAGAGGTTCCTGTCCCACGTTCCGCGCCGCCCGGCCACGCTACATTGAGAGACCGGCAGGAGGGAGCGCTCTGCGCTTCCCTCCTGCCGGTCACTCAAATCCAGCCGCCCTCCACAGCAGTGCTGCGCCGCCTGAGGCTTGTAAAAGCGCTCAGGTGGCGCAGCATGATGAGCCGCCGGAGGCAGGGATCCGGCGCCCCCTGCTTAGAGGTAGCGCCGGCCCTGGTTGTGTCTAAGGTGTTTTTAGAAAAAACAAAAAAACACTTTAGACACAACAGGGTAATAAAGGCTAAATGCTGGACTGGTAGGTGGTACTTGAGGACTGGGTTGGGAACCCCTGGTTTAGAGTGTCCTTTTAAAGGGAAACCGTCACTTCTTAATTATGTATCCTCAACCTTTGTATTTAACAATTAAATATTTGTGTGACGTGAAATATAAAATTAAATGTAGCTATCTATAGCCCTTTATCCTGAAATTGGGCACCTCCATCTTGGTTCCCGTCAAGCAGTTTTTATAAGCTCTGTATTTTGCAACTGGCCTAAATAAAAGTTGAGAAATTAAACAATGTTTCTGTTTCTCCTCCTCATCTGGGTGCCTTAAATCTTTCATAAAAATGTGTACAAAGCAAATTGATGCTTTTGCTGTATTGCATGTGACCCATGCCCTGACCAAACTATACAACAAAATCCACATCTAAAACTCTCATCTTTATGAATCTTACTAGAAATACCTTGTAAAACAAGCATGTCAAACTCAAAGTCTAGCACGGGCCACATAAACAAGGTTTAAGTTCATGTGGGCCGCAAAAAACAAACAAACCTTAAATTTTCATAGAAATTGGAATTTTGAAAAGTACAGTATAATAAAAAAAAACAGTATCCCCCTCTATTAAACCACAGCACCACCCTCTACTAAATTCCAGTCCCCCCTCTACTAAATCCCAGTCCCCCCCCCATATACTAAATCCAAGTCATCACCGTCTACTAAATCCCAGCACCCCTCCTCTAGACAACAAGCAGACTCCACTCACATTGCCGCTGCCAGTATGCAACTCCGGCCTCTGGTATACCCCAAATGGCGCCGTCCGCACCCTGTGCCAAATCTGATCCTCCCGCTACTTATTGAAACCCTTTGAAGGTGGAGCACGTCGGAATGTGACGTGGCACTGTGTGCCTCCATGCACCTCCAGGTACTCCGCTGTCCAGTCGCAGTCAATTTACACACACAGACACTGACAGACACACACACTTACAGACACACTCACTAACAGACACACACACACACTGACAGATACTCACTGACACACACACACACACACTCACTGACACACACATACTCACTGACAGACAGACACACTCACAGACACACACATACATACAGACACACACACACACACACTGACAGAGACACACCATTTTCTTTATTGCTCCCTATCTTTGGGAGCCAATGTGGTGCCTCTCCTTGGGGTCCAGGAGGGATCTTCTATCTGCTCCTCACTGTTCCCTAGCACGCAGTTTAGTGATGCCAGGTGCTGGAATATGACATCATATTCCGGCGCCCGGCTTCACTACAGATGGTGCACGCAAGGGAGCAGTGAGGAGCATAAACGCTGTGCTCCCTCGCTGGCCCTCCTCCCGGCCAGTTAAATGATGGCAGAGTAGGCACCTACAATGTGGGGAAAGCAGGTGCTTACTCTGCTTTAACACCAAGCATGCACATGCGGCTTGCAGTAAAATATTAGACTAAATCAGTACTTTGTGATACCTTTTTTTTATTGGACAATCAGAATTTTGGATTGACACGCTTTCAGGAGATCCTCCTTTCTCAAGTCTCAATGCTTTAGATTTGAGAAATTGAGGTAGTCCTGAAAGCTTTTCAATCCAAAATTCTGGTAGTCCAATAAAAAAAGGTATTACAAGGCACTGATTTAGTCTGTTATTTTACATCTGCATCACGGCTAATACGGCTACAATCTCCACAAGAATTACCCACCAGTTTTGGCACTAAAACTAATAAAAGCAATTAAAATCTCCTCACAGCAATAGCGATACACACTAACAATGCTTCTCTGTAAGAAGCACTTACTTCCACTTTAAACTGGAATTTAAAGTGAGTGAAGCAGGATACTTGACAGTCAGGAGGTGTTATGAATGGGATTTATTAAATTGCTTATTTCTCTTGAAATCAACATTTAAAAAAAAACTAAATTAGTATGCAGGGGAATGCAGTTAGCCTTTATGCAGGTCAGCAAGCTAAAATGCTTTAGGTGACAGCTGTCTCCCTTTTTAACAACAATGAAGATGTGGAATGTAAAATTCAATTGATTGCCTTTAAATCAACATTCAGGTGAGAACATGGCGATGCTGGATCGGTTGGTCAGGTTTACTTAGGTTAAAGTGAGACAGCACCCAGACACTCAAACTCCCATAACAACTTCACAGAGTTGAAGTTCCTTTGGGTGTTAGTATTTCTTTAAAAATGTCAGATTTGTATTTTTTTTTAAAACAGTATATTCAAGGATATAACTGTTAATATCCAAGATATTAACTGCTTGTTGATCCAAGGAGGAATTTGATTGCAACTTTGAAGTTCAATAATGTGGTGGGGGTTTTTTTTTTCATTAAGCAACACAATTGGAAATTGATCCAGTTGCGTCCAGGAATGCATGAGAGGTTGAATTTTATGGATTTCAGGCTATTTTTCCAGTATAATTTTTATTAAACGATAAATGGAGGGATTGCAGGGATCAGAGTGAAAGGGACATTTAGAGATTAATGTGAACAATCCCATATATGTAAGAAGAAGTGAAAAAAAAAAAGATATGCACACAGGTGAAAATATAAGATAACTACAAAATAATTTAATCGTAAAAGAAAAAACATAACTATGTGAAGATGCCTATGGATTACATTCCATAGTGCAAAGGTCACAAGGTACTTTTGTAGGTAAAATTTTTAGTCTTTAAACATTCTAGAACCATATCCATGTGACAATGGTTGTTTTGGTGGTGAAAAGCTAAAGGCAGAGGAATATTCTTGGAGGCAGAACTATCAGTGGAGAATATATTGTAAGGTATAGATGTGATTTCTTGTGCCATGGTATACACGTATGACCGTAGTGTGAATTTTTTCGGATGTGCTCATCACACGTGATGACATGTTCTGCATCACCTACAGCATAATGTAAAAATCATGGAGCATATATGTGGCACCCGTACATGGATACCAATGTAATACTGTTATAGCCACTAGCTCAGTTTGGTTTGTGCAATGATAAAATTTACAGGTGAATGCTTTTCTCCACGTGTTTTACAGGAACATAGTTTAGTTTCTTATTCCCAAGCCAAGGTGATTTTTAGCTTCAGGCCAGGGAGTCCTAAAATACCCAGTAACAAATGCAACTGCCTTATCGCCTCGATCCATATATATAACTATGTAAATTGAAAATTCTCATGAAATTATAGCTACATGTCTCCATCTTTTCCTCCCACGGGATCTTAGACATCACCGTATCTTGGCTTTGATAGAGCTAAATTCTCAATTCTAAGAATTTGTAGAATATTACCATCTGATGTTGCTTTGTACTGAAACAAATTCAAAAAAATCTCCTCTGCTACGTGGTTAAAACCCCAGAGGGCTTTAAATAAGATATCATAGTCAGATATCAGACTCTGTAAATTCAAATATTTTGACGTTGAATTTTTCAATTGTAATTTACATAAAATTTTATATTAATTTATAGGCACATCCTGCTACCCAATTTACATAACTATGGAAAGAGTAAGACAGTGTTGTACATTATCCCTTATGCTTTTCAATATAGTAGTTCGTTTTATGAAAACACGGTTTTCAGTTAGAGTAAACCTTATTCTATCTCCCCCAATCCAAAAAGGAATAAAAACTAGTTAAAACACACTTTCTTTTCCAGCACTACTTCAGCCCGCTCCTCCTTGGCTGACGTCACTCCCCTTTGCTGGATGGGTATGAATGTCAGGGAGGATGGACTGAGGTGGGGTAAGGAGGGTAGGGCAACAGATGCCAAATATGCACAGAATTCACATTAGCCATCCTGGAACCTAATCTTGGGTGGGGCACTGGTAAAGGTGTGATAGAGGCTTTAATTGCTGAGTTAGGGGCTGTAGTAGGGGGTAGGAGTTCTAGTGGGGGGACAGGGGCTGTGCTGAGGGTTAGGATATGTTTGGAGAATAGGGGCTGTATTGGGGGATTGGGATGTAGTGAGGTGGTTAGGGGCTGAAGTAGGTGAATGGTTGCAACTGGGGAAAGGGGCTGTAGGGTGGGGGATATTTGGCTGCAATTGGGGGAGAGTGGCTGTAGTGGGGAGGATATGGGACTGTAATGGGGGTAAGTTTTGATTGGGGGGAGGGCGGAGGGCACTGCATGATGTTGGGGGGACATGATTCTTCAGTTGCTGGTCATTTTTATAGTGTTTTAGAAATATTTTTTCTAGAAATCATTTTACTACCTCTAACAACACAACTTCCTCTGGTATCATACATTATTTTACCCAAAATATAATCTTCATATTTCTACGCTGCTGGAAACATTCTTCCTACAACCAAATGTTTGCCATCATGTATCAAGAGATGGCAAAATATTACACAATGACTGTATTTCACTGTATCGATAATTCCAGATGGGATTCACCCAAATCTGAAGTTTCAAGGCAAATCTATAACATTTTCCAGTGTGCTCCTTTTTTTTTTTTTTTTATAAATTCTTTATTTTGAAAGGTTTTGTTTTTTTGGGGGGTGAGGGTACAGAAGAAGAAGAAGTAGGAGTTCAGGTAGGTGGTATATTGATCATTACACAGACATTTGCTTTTGAGGCTGTCAAACATTCTAAACATAAGTACAGTCTTTTTAACCTTGGTCTCAACATACTTTGTTTTCTTGTAGATATCTTCCCCGTTCATATTGTCTTTAATTGTACTTAGTCTCAGGGTAGGGGTGGAATACAGAAAGGAAAAGGGAGGGAGGGAGGTAGGATACCCTGTCATATACAGTTCTCGTTTTGCCTTTTGTTACATTGATGTTGACAAACCGTTTAGTGGGCAGATTCTTGTTGTGGTGGTTGGTGCTCAGGGCGGGGGCAACCAGGAGGGGGGTAGGGAGGGGGAGTTCAGTGGTGGGCTTTTGTATTCTGGTTGTCTGTTTGCGCCCTTCCTCTTGTGGTTACCTTATGTTCGAGGGGTGCTTTGAGCCCCTGTTTGTGGCTTTTGTGATATTAGGTTGGGGTGCGGGTCTATGCCCAGTGAGGGTCTATAGTGGGGGAGGTCGAACCCCATCCCTTTTTGGCTAGAATCTTCATTGTTTTCCTGTTGTGCTTTTGCGGGGGTAGGGGTGGTGTACTTTATGACCTTAGGAGCGGTTTTTCTTATGCCCTGGGGGGTATTGGTGGAGGGTTGGGGGGGTTCAGGTTGAGTGGTTGTAGTCCCTTCTTTAGGGATATTTGGCGTTGTGTATGTTGCCCTTGCGTTTCATTGTTTTGTCTGTGTTTTCTGTTAGTATGGGGGGGTGGTCTGTGTGGGTGTGGGGGGGTGTGTGGATTGTGTTGTGGGTAGTATTCAAGTGGGGTTCGCCTGGGGTGGTGTCGTCTAATGAGGGGGGGGTTTCTCTGGGGATTGTTTGTCCCCGGTGGTGTTCTGCTTATGTGATGAGGGGGAATTCCACGAGCCTAGGGTCCCATGTTTTGTGGTAGGATTTGGTGTTGTCGTGGAGTGCCGAAAGGTAATCAATTTCTCTTGTTTCTTTAACCTTCCATGTCACTGTGGCCTGGGAGGGAATGAGGTGGAATTTTGTTGCTGTTTTGTCCCATATTTTTATGGTCATGAGAATTGCTGGGGAGGTCGGGGGCAGTGGGGGTCTTGCGTTTTTGGGGAGCCATATGTACAGTGATGGAAAATCCCATCCCATGATCGTGTGGTGCTCCTTTTTTTAAAAACTCACACCTCACAAACAGTGACTTGATTGACGCCAACATCAGACTGAAGTCATCAATCAAGTTATACTGCTGGGAAAGTTAGTTCAGAAAAAAAAAACCCTCAAACAATCCTGACTGATCTGTTTTAAATATGTATTGAATAGATCATAAAGGGAAGACAGAGTTCATTTACATCTAACGTTTCACAATCACACATTCTACTGGGACATATTCATGAATAAGCAGCCCTATACATTCTACTCTGTCTTGTGCCTGTTGGAAAATCTGGGACGTGACAATTAGCTGCTGTTGCACTGTGTGACTCGCAGCTTCACTTTCTAGACAGTTCTGTGAATTTGTTAAACTTTAGTAGAGTGCAGTAGTGTGGCCCATGTCTTTTGCGTGCTTTATATTCTTGGAAGAGTGTTTCTGCGAAAGGTCACATGACGGCTAGAAAAAACGTGCAGAACTTCCATGTCTACTCTCTAAACAGCGTGAGTAGCCACAAAATTGCTGAAATCAGTTAATGTTGGAAGTCAGTTTAAAGATCACTCTTCACAGACTGGTTTCCTGGTGTAACTGAGCTCATATAGAGCACCTATCTCCCTAAGTGCTAATAATATACGACACTTGGAAAATAGCAGACGTGGGCCTTTATAGCTGCCAACGGAGACACCGTGTCGCCATAAATTTAAAGAAAATGGTTAAAAAAAGAGATGGTGGAGTCTGTGAGACGAGACCTTATCATGTCATTAGAGAGACATTGGCTCTCATACTGAGAGAACTGATCAATTCTCTCCATTTTAAAAATAAGCTATTAAGTTTTTTTAAAATGGGTCCCCCAGAACCCACCAAGAACATAGGAGAGGCCCAGTAAATGACCCATCTGTCCCCTCCACCCCATGGGCTGCAGTAATATAGAATAAAGGAGCCAACGATGACTAATCTATAGGTCCTGTCATATTATTCATCCCAAAGGTCCCCGGAGATGCCCAGTCCACATGGGTTCAGTGTAGAACCAAGCAGTTATAGCACTGGCACTTCAACAACTTAAAGAAAAAATATGGTTTATTTTCTTACTGCTTCTTTAATCATTCATACACTCGGGCTGCATATCTCCTGCTGCCCTCTCTGCTGCTCATAGTTGTGCAACAGGTCTTTCTGGGTGTTTGTTGTGACAGATCGATTTCTACTTTCTGCATTTCACATAGAATAAGAATTTGTAACTAGAGCTGCTCTGCAGGAACGTGCTACAAACATATACTTTATTTATAAAATGTGTATATATATATATATTTTTATACAATACAGTTTACATACAGACACACACATAGAATGCATAGTAAAGTGTGAAAAATAACAAACTTTAAAATGACACATAAAATATATAATGTATAAAATAAATATAGAAACATTTTAAATATAGTAATTAATACTTTAAAGCAGCTCTGTCACCTGGTGACATTGGTGACATTGCTTCTTGGTGTTCGCTGGGCCGAGGGTACAGTGCAGATGAGAGATACTTACTTGAAGCTGTTCCTCTCGGACGCTGCCATCTGCTGTCAGGGTACACTCCTCAGCTTCTTGTGCTTCATCATAATGCATAAGAGTACAACACTGATGTCTATGAAGGATCCCATAGGAACGCAAGAGCCTTTTCAAATATTGCCACACAGTCAGCAAGACAATACCTTTTTCCCTCAGGTGCCACTAGTGACGGCTGTGGTAATTGACAAAACCTGACTGTGGAGCTCCACCGTTTGTCCAGTATGGTCAATTGGAAGGAAATACGTAAGACTAAGTAATCCCTACTTTGTTTTAAGATATCATTTGACTGTGTAGGAATTTTGTGAAATTCCAACGCAGTAAATGTGAAATACTTCATGAAGTACTCAGTTTGGGGGAGCGGATGACCGAACAGCATTAAAGGAACACTCCAATGTTAAGACCGATATTTTAGAATTGAAAAACCTCTTGAACTCGTATCTTTTATGAAATGGGAGAAGGGCCTTGCATTTAACCCCTAACGCACTTCAGCAAGCTGAAATAAAGGTGTATCTTTATTAAATGATCAGCATATCTTCCCAATGCATCTTTGCTATTTAAAGCATTGACTAGTACCAACAACTGCTTCTTTAAAAAAAAAAAAAATATATTTAAAGGACCACTATAGTGCCAGGAAAACATACTCGTTTTCCTGGCACTATAGTGCCCTGAGGGTGAGAAGCGCGGAAGCGCTTCTAGCGGCTGTCAGTGAGACAGCCACTAGAGGCTGGATTAACTCATTTGTTAACATAGCTGTTTCTCTGAAACTGCTATGTTTACAGCAGGCAGGGTTAATCCTAGATGGACCTGGCACCCAGACCACTTCATTAAGCTGAAGTGGTCTGGGTGCCTATAGTGGTCCTTTAAAGGGGTATTCAGTCTAAGACTAAATATCCCTTTGATTTGTGATTTACTATGCCAATCGAGAAGTTCGCAATGTATTCTCTGAGATAGCTAGTTTCCTGGAAACTCAGTCAGGCTGTCTCTCTCTGCTGTTTGTTTGATAAACTAATGGAAGTTCCACATAGGGTTTTCAAAAACCACAACAATATGTGCTCATAGATTTCGAACGGCCTGGAAGGTGTCCTTTTCATCAGAAAGAAACTGAATCAGTAATAACTTTTTTTAATAGTTCTGTCTTACTTTTTTTGTCTTTACGTTGGACTAACTTAAAAAAAATTTTTTTTCCCGTAGAGTACATTTCCTGGAGTGTTCAGTGACTGTGCGTTAAACAGTTCAGCAATGAGGTCACTGCTCACAGCTTGTGATGTCAAACCTTGACGATGGAATCCGAAACCAATAGAAATCAGTCCTACATTCATTTGATTAGGACAAGCCGGGAATTGCTGGTTGAAAAGATCAAGAACACCCAGTGTTTGCTTCATAACTTGATTAAAAATGGAGTATTTTCAACCGAAGATGAAGAAATTGTGCTACAATTTCGGACAAGAGCAGATATGGTGAGTTAGTCCCCAAAATAATAACATGAACTTTTTTTTTTTTAAACTATAGTTTATTAGTGGACAAGTTAAAGGAACATTCCCACAACCATAAAACCTTTATCTTGTTGGCTGACGGAATGTTTGGGCATTGTCTTCTCCTCTGGGGTTGAACTGTTTACCAGTGTTGGAAAAACAGTGTTAGAATGATGTTGCATCAATATTAAATGTGTTCATTATGCTATAGGTTCGCCAGATTCTGGATTTGGTGGAAAGTAAAGGAGAAGAAGCTTCAGAATATTTGATCAGCGTCATCCAGCGAATACCGGAGGCATATTATCCTCTGCAGCCGTGGCTGAAGGATATAGGCTTTCAAGCTTCAGATAAAATACAAAATGTACAGGTTATCAACACAGACCCAGGTACAGGGGGTCTATACTTTTTTTCTTTTATTATCGTGGGTTAGTCAGTGAGATTCTTTCTATTTATGTACTAAACAATTAATGCATCCGAGGTTCGCCTTCAAACATTTAGGAATCTTCTTTTAAAAACGTACATAAAGAAGTAAAGTAAATTGTAGTTTGTAGATTCTACAATTATTATCCCCTCTCATACAACACATCATCACTAAACATCTGCTGGTATCTAGCTGCTTAGTACATTTGGATGTAGGCTGTATTGACACTTTTTGCAAGTGTTATCTGTAGAAAAATAAAAGGGTATGTGATTAGTGTGAACACTTCCTCATCTAACATTTGCCCCCAGAAGTGCTATTTATACATTGTATTCTATGCTAACCATCTCCTTAAAGGAACACTATAGTATTTCAAAAACACTATTTAGGTGACCGCACTGCCCCCTTTAAAAGGGGTTAAAACACACCATTATTATAGTACCTTTATTCCACATCTGGCTCCGGTTACACGCTGAGATCATCAAAATTTACAATTCCAGCCAATATAATACTTTCCCATAGGAAAGCATAGGGAGTCTGTCGCATGTGTGGCAAAACACTGTGATGCGCCAATCAACATCTACTCATAGAAATGTATTAAATCAATGTATCTCTATGAGGACTGTTCAGTGCCTCCATGAGAGAGTGGAGATGTTGAATATCAGTGCTGCACCCAGGAAGCACCTCTAGTGGCTCTCTGAGTGACTGACTCTAGAGGTGTTCCTAGGAAGTAATGTAAACACTGCCTTTTGTCTGAAAAGGTAGTGTTTACATTAAAAGTCCTGCAGGGACAGACTATGCACACCAGAACCGCTACATTAAGCTGTAGTTGTTCTGAGGACTATAGTGTCCATTGAACATTTCTCCTTTCCATTGTAGCTTAAATTTTTATTTACCCCTGAAATTTAGTGAGTAGCTTTTCACACTACATCTTGTGTGTTATGTTGTTGTTTTTTGTACTATAAAAACAAACCAGCTACCACAATCCTGTCTCGTTTGTGGCACGGTTCCTCCTATTACTGAAATACCAGTTCAACTAGTAACCGTTTTCTTTTCTGAATGATCTCCCAGGCTTGTTGACCGAATACTTTACAAATGTATTCACAAAGAGACAAAAGAAGACTTTTCTTTTTTAATGCTTTTTTTTAGAACACGAAAACAACTGCACTGGAATCTAGGCAGCTTACACCCCTAAAAGTGAATTTCGAATTCTAGGGCAGAATTGCCAAACTAAAAGCTGAGCTGACTTGGCGATTTTTTTTTTGCAATTCGGCTTGATTGTCCAAAACTTTTAAAATCACTTTAAAATGTTGAATTGCCCAAAAATGACATGTTGTCACTGTGGAGCCATTCTCCTCATGATTGTTATTGTACAGTTTATGTAAAAGATTGACCCGTTTCGTTATATTCTTTGGACACACTTTCTTTTTTTTTTAAATAAAAACTTTGTTTACAAAAATAAATCCAACCCTTGTACGGAAGTTAAACTGATATCATTCAGAGCAATTCCTGACCATGCTTTTGTAATCAATCAAGATATAAATTTGCCAAAGGTTTGCTAAACTGCTCTTATTTGTAAATACAAAATACAACAAAACAAACAGAAAATTAACATTGTAAAAAGTTAGAAAGATTAAGTGATCCATGTATTAGGGAGCAAATGTTGGTTTGTTCACAAGCAATCTGCAAACATTGGGTCAAAGAGGAGAGTCGGATAAACATCCCTTTCAGCCGATCCTGTTGTCAGCTAACGCAAATTACTGTTTACTAAATAGATCTAAATAAAGTCGAACAAATCTAACATACAAATAGGAAGTACAGCTTAAATAAATTCTGCCGGTGTATTCACAGGTAATCTATATTTCTGATTATTTTTTGTTTTGTATGACAAGGAAGGTAAAATCTATCAACAACATGATAGTCGGATCCCTATACTTGGCCAAACAATATATTGCAAAACTGTTATTCTTTAAAAATCTGTGGTAGCTTGGAATCAATGGACCACAAGACAGTATTCTTTAATATGTCCGTTGTACAGGCCATTCTTATCAGTATCCTGCAGTTACAGTAAGATTATATAGTTTTTAGTTACCATTGTATGCAAAACGAGAGAGGATATTATTGTTTAGTTTTTGTGTTGACTAAGATTTAATTTTTTTCTGTTGGCATTTAATAATGAACACATTTTTGTATCTTCCAGTTACAAGCTACAGCAAGAAGCTTAAACAGGAGTTGCGTAGAGATTGCAAGATCATCATGTCTTACAGCCAGAAGGAAGAGATGATGCTTCAGGAAACCTATGTTAATGGTGTTATGGAGCTCCTAAATATCTCACAGGAAACTATCGGAAATGTGGTAAACCTTACTTGTCTCTTTGACAACAATGGTGTGATCAACGAAGAAGGAGAGACTATCTTCATTTTTGGTGATGCCGGCATGGGGAAGTCCCTCTTGTTACAAAAAATTCAAAACATGTGGGCTAAAGAAGAATCCTACACTGATATTAAATTCTTGTTTAGGTTTAGATGTCGTATATTTAGCTTTTTTAAAGCAAATGTCAGTATATCTCTGAAGGACCTCCTCTTCAGATATAACTGCAACCCGGATCATGAACCTGAAGATGTATATGAGTACATACTTAATTTTCCAGAGACAGTGTTGTTCACCTTTGATGGCTTTGATGAGATACGTTCTGATTTTGATATAAATAGTATTCCTGAAGTTCCCTCTCCCAGTGACCCTGCCCATCCTGTTGCCTTGCTCACCCACCTCCTCAGTGGGAGATTACTGAAAGGATCGAAGAAAATTTTGACGGGAAGAACTGGATGTCAAGTCCCGGGAAATATGATCCGCAAGAAAATCATGTTAAAAGGTTTTTCTACAAGTAACTTGCTGGAATATGCTAATTTATTCTTCAAAGAACCTGATATTAAAAAACATGTGTTTACGCACCTCAATGCAAATCACAACTTCAGCAGCTTGTGTACAATACCCTTGTTTTGCTGGATCATATTTAAGTCCTATGCACATTTTTATTCTATGAACGACAGCCACTGTTTTTCAAAATCCATCACTCTATCCATCAGCTCTGTCACTCTAACAGACATCTTTCTAGTTCTGGTCGAAGTTTACCTTTCCCTGATGAGTAGAGAGACCAACAGAAGCCAAGTGGAAACATACAAGGGCTGCAGAGATACTTTGTTGTCAGTTGGAAGACTTGCCTACAGTGGAATAGAACAGTCGATGTTTGTTTTTGAACAGGAGACCATAACATCTCTAAAAGTACCAGAAAGATACCTCAAGTTAGGTTTCCTTAGAACAGTCGAAGAATGTGGTGAACTTGGTGATGATTCCTCTTACGAATTCTTTCATGTAACACTGCAGTCTTTCTTTACAGCACTTTTTCTTGTAATAGATGACCAAACGGGTACTACGGAACTCCTGAAATATTTTTCCGAGTGCTCCCACTCGAAGGACATGGAACATAACCATTCGCTTTTGTCTTGTGTATGTTCAAAAAAAGCCAACCAGGGGGATCCGTTCAAAAATAACGACCACCTTCAGTTCATCAATCTTTTCCTTTGTGGTTTGCTGTCAAAACCAAAGCAAGGACTTCTAGCAAATTTGGTCCCCTCCTCCACTCTCAAACTTAAGAGGAAGGCACTCAAGCAGAAACTTGTCCAGTGTGTGAGATCTCACTTGAAAAGTCTGCCGCGTTCTTCTTTTATGGGATATAACCGTGTCCATGCACTTACTCACTTTATTTGGATGGCACGGTGTATATTAGAGACACAGAGTGTGAAAGTGGGGAAGCTTGCAGCCAAAGGAATTTGTGCAGACTATATTAAGCTTAGTTTCTGTGGTGCTTCTTCCTCTGATTGTGGAGCCATCTCCTTTTTATTGAACCATTATAAAGACAAACTTGCTCTGGAGCTGGACAATAACAATATCAATGATTATGGGGTGAGGGAGCTGTCGCCCTCCTTTTGCAGGCTTTCTGTGATTAGGTGAGAAGAGACATCGTTATCCAGAGGTCATGGGAGTAGATTTAAAGAGTTCTAGAATTAATTTATAGCGGATGTTGTCCTAGTTAAATCCCCCTCTCATGACATTGTAAAGCACTACGGAATCTGTTGGCGCTATATAAATGGCAATAATAATAATAATAATAATAGTAGTGAGGTTTTCTTTTATCTTGTTGAATTCCAGGTGGCGGGGAGGGGAGGTTGAGCATGATGGCTGTTGTAGTCCTGAAGAATGTGAGAGTTAACGTTTGGAAATGCTTTGTTTCTAATATAAAAAGACAGACCTATATTACAAGTGTAGCAGTGGTGATCTCAAATAACTGTTTCATATAGGATGGTTTAAGTTCTTAGTTTTAAAACACATGGAATAGATTAATGACTAGCCCCATAAACATACCTCCCAACATTTCAGAAGGGCAAAGAGGGACACTTTAATTTGTGTGAAGGTGTTGCCAGTGAGATGGTGTCCTGAAAATTTTAGGTTACTTACTAATAACAATTTATGCAGCTAAAATATCATTTAGAACAAGGACAATGTATTTTACTTACACAGACTGCTTTCTAAACACATTTGTTGTTGTTTAAAGATTGCTGTGGATCTCTGTTATACACTCAGTCACACCAACAGTATGAAGTTCCTAGAAAAGCTCTCAGCTATCAGAGCACAGAAAATGCTCTGTTAAGACCAATTATCATGGTAATACTAGCAGGAAGTGACATTACATCCTCCAGTACTTCCATCTGTGAGGTTACTGTGCAGGCTCCCATTTAATACAGCGCCCACTAGGATGCCTCTGACCAAGTGGTCCGTTTAGGACCATACCTAACTATACTATCTCCCTAACCAGACCACTATGTGCTACAGGGCCCCTGTTCTGGACTGGCCCCCTTAACAGGGTAGTGGTAGCAAATTTTGGCTGAGGGAAGTTAGGGTGCAGGTTTGAATCTGGAGAAATAAGTAGTGCAAAGAAAGTTGAGAATCCACAAAAATCCTTTCTTGAGGGAAACAGAGAGGAGCAGTATGTAGAGGAGAAGGATAAGATGTATGACGTTTGGTGTGAGATTGAATTTTATTAGCAAAATGTTTCAATCTCCCTAAAACTGTATCTTTTATGCCATGGTCTGCTATAATTCAAAAGGTTAAAGGGACATTATAGGCACTCAAACCACTTCAGCTCATTGAAGTTGTCTGGGTACAGTGTCTCTATTGCACTTAGTGCTGCAATGTAAAACGTTGCAGTTTTAGATAACTTCTGGAATGTTACCAGACTTTTGGTTAGCTAACTGACGCTGGACGTCTTCACGCTCTGCTCTATATTGCTTTCCCTATGGGAAGAACTAACGCGCACTCGGAGGAGGCAGAGCCGCGACCCAGCACCAACGGACATCAGCGCTGGGGTCAGGTAAGTAGATAAAGAGTTTTAAACCCTTTATTCACATGGGGCAGGGCGTGACAGAAGGGGCAGGCAGAGCTATAGATGCAAAATGATACTAATATACAGGTGAGGGCGCCACTATCATAATGGTGTGAATAATATTTACCACTCAGACGGCAAGAATTACATGTTGAGAAAACATAAACAGAAAAAAATACATAGTGAAGTATTTAATGGTTAAAATAACATAGAATAAATAACAATGAAATGAACTCACAAGTAAAGTAGCACAAAGAGAATCATATCTGTTTGTGCAGAAAAGCTTGTAAGCCTCAAAGGGGGCTTACTCCCCATCCAGTGGAATGGGCCGTTGGTACCTCTTAAACCAAGTCCAGTATTAAAGCATCTGTCCTTTGTATTCCTGGCACTATAGTATCCCTTTACATCTAGAGACAGAAAAGTGGGAACCGAGATCACATTTCATTTGGGAAGGATATGGGTTATATTGTAATACAGGAAATAAAATTGCAGACACAAAATCGAGGACTGTCTTAATCCAGTTCACATTTTGACAAAAAGTTTGTATAGAAAAAATGTTGTATATGGCGTTTTACTAGTTTATATCTGATATTGCCCACAATGTAAGGTTGTCTTTCTTTGACTGGCATGTTTATACAAGCACAATCTATTCTTTCTTGCTGACTGTCTACTTATTGGATAGCACTGAGTTTGGGTGAAATTAAACAATAGGAAAAGAGTAAATAATCCAGAAGGAGAGAGTGACTGTCAGCTGCACAAATTGTATCGAATCAAACAAATATTATATATGTAATGCAACTGGAGGACAGGAAAGTGAGATTGGATGAAGCAGTGTGAGAGTACACAAGACAAGGATAATCAGATGTAAAAGTAATTAATCATATAATGAGAGGAGAAAAAGGAAAGTGAAAGATTTTGTGGTTTCTTTTATATTCTCACAATAAAACCTCATATAACCATTGCTTGCATTAAGGAAAGATTGGCTTGATATGTGTTCTAACTCATAACTTAAAAAAATAAGCCTAGCTATATGTGTGTGTGATGTAGTTCAATAGACCATCTGTAACATACACCAGTTGATGTATGAACTGCAAAGTCCAAGATGCCTGTGAGGCTCAAACACGATCAGCACATGTGTACAGCATAATAGAAGGCCAGAAAGGAGTCCTGGAGAATAATCATTCGCTGTCTCCTGCTGAGTGTAGATTGGTTTGTATTTGGAATCTTTGTGGCGACTGATCTTTGATTGTGATTCATAACAACATGACAGTGATTTTTCTGTTTTGCAGGCTCAGTGTTAATCAGATTACTGATGAAGGAGCAAGAGTTTTGTCTGAAGAACTTACTAAACATAAGATTGTCACCTTCCTTGGGTATGTAATAGTTGCTCCTAGTTACCTTTTAAATCTTCCCCCTTTCTATGATTTTAAGCTCTATTATCGTCAATGCCTGAGCATCACCCTTTTCCCACTGTAATCATGTACACAAATAAAGCTCCCCAAGTATTCATACAGTGTGTGTCGGAGTTGTGCTGTGTGTGGTGCAGTTTTCTGCCTGACACTGTGCTGGGTATTCTGAGCCGGACGGGGGACCATGCTGTATGCACGCACAAACCGTTAAAGGATTGGATGGCTCAGTGCGGGAGATAGACTTGTCCAAATATCATCTGTGGGAAGTAGGTTGGAGACTAGGTACCACTTCCTTGTACCATGACTAATGCACTAAGCTGGAGTGTCTCTAATTGGACTGTGACCCAGAGGCCAGATAGTAACTTTTCCACTGCAAAATTGTTAACTACTAAGGGCTATATTACACGTGTTGGATAACTGACCGTAAAATAAACCATTCATTAAAGGGTTACTCCAACCACCATGATAACGTCAGCTTTCATCTTGAAATGCTGCACATATGGAGATATTTGTGGTTTAGTACCGGTAACAGGTTGCACCCCCGGCACACGTGATTTAAGCAGCCCAGAACTGTATTTTTTGGCTGCCTTATGTTTATCCTGTGCAAAAATTATGTTTGTTGCCAGCGCGCACACCCCCTTCCTCCCTCCCTTCTTTTGATGGCTTTTGAGAGCAGGCATATGCACTCTGAGCTGGAGAAACAGTCCAATCATATCCTTCTCTATGAGAAGCATTTGTTTGGGCCACACATTGGAGACAGTGACGTCGGATGGAGGTGTGGAATCCAGCGACGGGAGCGTCACACACGGTGGTGTATTCCAGGTAAGTAAAAGCTTCTTTATGCAGGTTTTCTTTCAAAATTAAGCGTTGGGGGGGCATTATAAATAGAAAAACTGTGTTAAAAAGAATTGGAATAATCCTTTAAAACCTAGTTTAATCCCCAGAAATGAGTTACTAATCTCTGGAAACATGAGTGTGTCCTGATCTAAAGAATATTTTATTCTATTCTGCAGGTTATACAAGAATTTAATAACAGATTTCGGTGCTCAATACATCTCAAGAATCATTATAGAATGTCCGAATCTGAAGCATATAAAGTAAGTAATAAATAATATATATTTTTACTAATGATTCCACAGAAACAAATAGTTCATTATTTTATGCTGATATAACAGGATAACAGAACAAAACTATGGTTTCTTCTTAATCATAGAGGATATCTGCCAGATATGTATTAATGAGTAGATGTTTCAGAGAATTAGTTAAAAACTCACAGGTGAAGGTTATTACATTTTTCTAAATAAATGTCAGTTAAAATTGGGATATACACAGTGATACAGTAGACTCCGGTAGACGATATTTTGGCTTTTTACTAATATAACTTTCTAGAACGCCAATATGTAAAGTATTCTGATAGGAATGTTAGCCGCTCCTTAGATAGCCATTAAAGCTGCAATTTACTAAATATCATTGCAGCTTCACAAGTTTAAAAAAGCCGGTTTTGTGACGTAAATGCCGTGACACTCCAGCACATAATTACAGAGTAACTAGTCTCTCTCTATTAAAATGAATACATTAAAATAAATCTGTAAGGCACATTGGACTTCACTATAACTGGATAGGGGCCCTATGAGTGGCCCCTAACACAGACTCTATGGGTTTTTTTTTATGGCCAGAGATCCCCAGCTCTAAAGGTTTTGGGAAGAGACCCCACCCTAGGGACCCCTACCCACATGGGCAAAATATGAAAAGATTAACTTCTTATAGTTCCAGTGAAACAGGACAGAAAGCACCCCCAGGCCCAATAATTGACAGACCTATACCTGTGCAAAGGGTAGCTTCCAGGCATAACTGATATCCTCTTTAAAAATGTCATATGAACAAGAGCAGTGTGGCTCTTTGTGTGACTTAAAGGGACACTATAGTCACCAGAACCACTACACCTTAATGTGTGTCTGCAAGCATTTCAATGTAAAAGCTGCCTTGTAACACCTCTACTGGCTATATTAAAGATATCTCCAGAAGTAGCTTTACTTCACTTAAATTGCCCCCTATACTCCCTGTGAACAAACTGATTATATCTCATTAATTTCTAGCTACTAAAATCATTATATCTAGATATTGGGAAAATGGAAATATTATTATTCTTTAGTCACAAGTTAAAAATCAACTCAAATTCCAGATCAAAGTGGAGAAAATGCTTAGCATAAAAATATAAGCAGGAAACACCTCTATGGGATAAATGTTGGGAATTCATAAATAATAGTCCAACTTCATTCATTTTGAAGATACTTAGTAAAATCTCCTTATTGAAGTTCACACCGCTGGACAGGATAAGCAATACAATTGAAAGTCAATCTCAAATAGCCAGTTACTTCTGTCAGTTTTGATTAAAAGTTACTCCCCTCTCTCTCTCAGCATCTCATAAATAGACAGCTTGTTTGGTACTGTTTTTTGTGTGAAGTTGTTTTCGTTTACTTGTTTGTCTGTTTGTTCGCTCGTGGTTGTTCATATTTCTATTATTGCAAATCCTGGCTTGATAAATGTTCTAAAGTAGTAATATATATTTATATATATATATCATTTTAACTTACTGGCATGTATCCTACGTACATAGTATTGTGTTCTGTATGTCTTATTTTGTAAAAAAAAATAAACAAATTCTTTAATAACGATTATAAAAAAAAAAATCAGACCGGAACTAGAGGTGCTTCCTATCGCAGTGCAGCAGTGTGCAGGAAGATTGATTATCTCAGCCATTGAAATGGGGCCAGCCACGAGGAGGGGGTGCCAGGTACCTAAACATTGAACAGATAACTAAAGTGTTACGAATACATGTTTGTATTACTAACACTATAGTGTTTCTTTAAGGAATCTACATAATATTGACAATATGAAATGTTTGATTGTAATCCGAGAAAAAATTACATATAATATCTAACCGTAATTCTGTTTGTATATAGACTAGGTTACAACAAATTTACAGGTGTGGGAGGTGCCCACCTTGCAGAGGCTATTGGACAGAGCAGCAGCATATGTGACGTTGGGTACGTTTTATTTTTTCACTTTTACAATCTCTTCTGGCATTTGGCCTCTCAGCCTAACTAATCTCTCAAAGTAAGCAGCCATTAACAAGCCAACTTTCACCAACTTTCTAGAATACTTCTCTCCAACATGGTTGACGGAGAGGACATGTTCAACAGGGAATGATCTGTAAGTGGAGAGAGGCAGAGATAGAATTGATATTATATACAGATAAAATAAAGATAAATAAAAACAGAATTTGTCGCAAGGCAGCTTAATAAAACACAACCAGAACATTAAAACAATTCCATATGTTGACAGAACCCCCACATTCAGCAAGTACTGTTGCAACAAGCAGCTGTACTATACGCAGCATTGTATGCAGTTTTTTCAGGCCCTACCAATCATTTTTATAAAGATCGCTCCCCCCAGCCTTGTTGTGCAAACCACCTATGAAGTTTAATCTTCAAAGTCTCTCAAATAGTGTGGGAGAAGACAGGAGGGATAAATGCAAACAAAAGCAATGACAGGTTGACAGAGAAATACATGTTTTGGAGGGTGAAAACTAATGTTGGCCCACAGGGGGAAGGTAAGTGTGGCTTTTTGGACTGCTTTGGGCTAAAACAATATTTTCCTGTGCCTACATGTTTTTTGGTTGGAGCTATGTTCATCCTTACATTTTTTAAATTCAGACATGTTGGATTTGAGGAGAGAAAATTAGCATCTCCTGTTCATGGCTAACAGCCAATGGGACATAAACAGCTACGGGTTGTGAATCACTTACTGCTGCCAAGTAAACAAGCATTCAGATTGTCTCACCAATTGCTTCTGTATCATCATGGTTCTTCCTTTGCTGCAGGATGTGGGGAAATCAGATTGGAGATGAAGGAGCGAAGGCATTTGCGAAGGCAATAAGGAATCATCCCAGCATGTCCGAGCTAAGGTATCGCCAACTCCTCCTGTATTTCCAACTGTGATAGAACAATGTTAAATAATAAAGACTTACGGCTGTCATCCTGTGATAGCCGTAATGTGCGTGAATGGCACTTCGTGTTTACAAAGACTTCATCTGCTTTAATAAAGACAATGAAACATTTGTAAAGATAAAAAAATATAAAACAAAGGATAAATAGTTTCGATTTTATTTTACACGCGGTCAGGTTTAAGTAACAGCCCTTGTTAACATGAGAGTACTGAATGTAGTTGGTCCTGAAGGTGTTAAGGTATATAAAGATCTGGCTAACATGCAAAAGATCCAGTATAAATAAAAATAAATAAATAATGTTTTATATGAGATGCTGAATCTGTATCCACTGAACTATCTCAATGGCTCTCTAGTGTCATGGGTTCAATTTCAGCTCAACCTTTTTATATTTCTGAGCTCAATATAATGAGTTCTATTAAGTTGGGTAATATTATTATCTAGAACCCAGGACAAACTTGTTTTGTTATGATACAATATCATTTTCACATAATAAGCAAAAAAATGTATCTTAGCATGGAGATAAAGAGAGTTCTATCCAGAGCCTGGGTGTAATAGCTAAAGTAACATTGAAAAATATATCTCAATGTACACTCACATTATAGCTGCTCAGTAAAGAACTACTCAGATATAATCTATGGATATGGATATTTTGTCACCTATGTAATATTTTTGTTCAGCCTGAATACACGTTCCTTTTTTATAATTATCTTCCCTACTGTCTAATTTAATCTCTGTTTTGTATTGATTTTCTCTGCCTTTAAGCCTCTTTAATTGTATTATTTTATTGATATCCTAAATGTATAAGTTGGTGTTTCTGTGCTACCGATGGACACTTTCTTTCTTCCTTAGTTCCTGTTTCATTCATCCTTCCTTTATCTCTCCGAATTAGTGTTTCAATACCGAACTTGTGACTTTTTCTGAACTTCCATACACATTCTTCTCTCTGCAGCCAATCCTTCCCATGTTTACCCCTTGGTTCTCCCTGAAAGATTCGATCCACCCAGAATGTGTTTTATTCCTTTAACTCCTTAAGGACACATGACATGTGTGACATGTCATGATTCCCTTTTATTCCAGAAGTTTGGTCCTTAAGGGGTTAAACAGAATTGGAATGTTTGATCTATGATGTCAGAGTCATATGACCTCAGAACTCATATGTCATACACAATGCATGCAAAGGCTCAGTTTGGCAGGAAGTAGGAATATACTTTTTGTATGAATCAATAGTTTTGTATTTCAGGATTATATTTTATTATAAAGACCGTAACAATATGATTCAGCAGCTCTTATACTGCTGTCACACCGTGCTGAGTACACTGGGGGCAGGGCTGCCATCAGAAATTTTGGGGCCCCTGACACAGCTCAAGGTCTGGGCCCCCCGTGCCTGCACCCGAGTCCGCCCAAAGTGCTGCCCCCCCGCCCCCCGAGTCCGCCCACAGGGATGCAGTGTCTGCAGGGCCGGTGCAAGGATTTTTGCCGCCCTAGGCAAAAGTAAAGTTTGCCGCCCCCCCATTTGACATCACAATGCCCCACCCATATGACTTGCCATGTTAACTAACACCAGTGCTGCAGTGCCGCCGTGTTTACATTAAAAGGCCTGCAGGGACAGGCTAGACACCAGAACCACTACATTAAGCTGCAGTGGTTCTGGGGACTATAGTGTTTCTTTAATGTGAGGTAAATTAGAGATTAGTGCCATTAATAATATACTAGATTGCCTACTTACAACCAGGTGAGGATGATGATGGCCTCTAGCTGCAGTCTGGCTCCACTGGTCTGGTGTAGAACAGGCTCTCTGGAGGCTGTTTGTAACTGTGGTCACAAAAATCAATGTTCTGGGAGAACGGGAAGCAGCTCCATTTTTTTGAGGGCCCTTTACACAGCTCAAGGTCTGGGTCCCAGGGTCCACCTTCATGTTCCACCAATGAGTTTGTTCACAGGGGGTGGAGTGTGTGTGGGGGGGATGTCCTGATGTGTGTAAGGAATGCATTGTGTGAATCTGTGTTTGTATGTGTAAGGGCTGCAAGGTAAGTTTGTGTATGTATGGGATGCAGTGTGTGCGTCTATAAGGGATGCATTGAGTGTGTGTAAGGGGTGCATTGTGTGTTGTTGTGTGTAAGGGATGCATTGCTTGTGTATGTGTGTCTGTGTGTAATGCATTGTGTGTTTTTCTGTGTGCAAGGGGTGCATTATGTGTGTGTGTGTGTGATGGATGTCAATCTCTCCTCCTCCCACCGTCAATTTCCTTCTCCTTGTCCCCCCCTCTCCAATTACCTTCTCCCCCCTCCAATTTCCTTCTCCCCCTCCCTCTCCAATTTCCTTCTTCTCCCCCTCTCTCCAATTTCCTTCTTCTCCCCCTCCCTCTCCAATTTCCTTCTTCTCCCCCCTCTCCAATTTTCTCCAATTCTCCTTCTTCTCCCCCCCTCTCCAATTTCCTTCTTCTCCCCCCTCCAATTTCCTTCCTCTCCCAGGAGAAGAGGCTGGCCCAGTGGGTACATACTGGGGTCGCGGGGCCACCTGCGACCCGGTATGTACACCACTGAATGTGGGGCCCGGACGACCTGAGCAGTCCGGGCCCCCCAGGACCGCCGGGCCCATGACAACTGTTACGATTGTCATGCCCTGATGGCGGCTCTGACTGGGGGTGTACATTGAGTGAAAGAGAGAACATCACCTGATACCCCAAATTAATGTGATACTGATGCAGTTATTTCAAATATTAAAGATGTGTTAGTTAAGGGGACACTTTAGTTTGAGATTGTATGCATTTGTTCTTGTAATACATTGAAAATAATAAAAAGTTATACTGGATCCAATAATGATGTCTTAAAGGGACAATCCAGACTCCGAACCACTGCCGTGCGCAGTAGTGATTATGGTGCCCGAGTCTTCTGTAGTAGTGATTATAGTGGCAGAAGTCTTTTTTTCAAATAATATGTGGGCTCCCCAACTGGGCACTACCTTCTTCAGATATCATTAAGGCGGAAGTCCCTATTTCTGCATTAATGACATTTACTCACCGGTGTTTGGATAGTTGAGAGTCTTGGTCTTTGAATCTATCTGTCTTTATTTCTCCTCTACATATAAATCATAACATTGGATTTTTTCTTTTTCTTTTTAATGTATCTATTTTATTTTTCAGTCTTGCGTGTAATCAAATTACCTCAAGTGGAGGCAAAAGTATTGCAGAAGCCTTGCGAGACAATACAAACCTGAACATTTTGTGGTAATTAAAGTTATACGCTGCACTCCTATGTTTGAATAATATGCATACTTAGTGTTCTATAGTTACCATTATTTATTATCATACCTCCCCAGATATAAAAACAGAAGGTCGTGAAGTGAGCTAACAGGAGACATGCCAGTGGCATTTTGTTGTTGTGACACAGTAGGGGTTGTATATACACATAGGCTTTTTAGATACAGAAGTTGTTTGTGGGGCTCTCCTGAAGAACTCTCTTATAGGTAGGATAGCCTGATATATTTTTCAATACTTTGCTATTTTTTATATATATATTTTTTTATATTTAAAAATTATCAGAAAAATAATTTTAGAAATGTGTCCAAAATTATTAAATAATTTGAAACGCTTATCCAGAAATATTAAATCACAGCGACGGGTGACGATGCAGCTTTAAAATGAACTGTTGGGTCACAGATTAAGAGGAGAATTATTTTCCACAGTACCAGCACTTCTAATAATGCTCTGGCACTGTACATATTGAGGACTTGTTGCTGATGTCCTCAGAAGTGGGACACTATAGATTAAACAAGGGACAGATTCCAAAATTCTGTCTAGCTGGCCACAGTACTGTTTTGAGTTGTGTATTATTATTTTCATGTCAGTTTTCTGCTGAGTAAAATAGAGATATTGCAAGGAGTGTGAATGTTTACATTTATATGTTTACTGTCTCTATGATAGTTTATGTATCGGTCTTTAATTAAATCCCTCATTTAAAAACGCAGGTTGACTGAAAACAAATTAACAGATGAGGCAGCGGAAAGCTTTGCAGAAATGCTGATGGTTAACAAGACTCTTCGCCATTTATGGTGAGTTGTTTCACTTGTCATAATATGATTTATACTTCGTAGACTGTGATTTCGGATCTTTTTCACAAGCTGTGTTGCAGCATCTCATGTGTAAAAGAGTGGACTGGTTGCTGTATTTTAACAAGGAGGAGCAGTTAAAGGACCACCATAGTGCCAGGAAAACAAACTAGTTTTCCTGCCACTATAGGGTCATTAGGTCCCCTCCACCCTCAGGGCCCCCTCCCACTGGGCTGAAGGGGTTGAAACCCCTTCAGCCACTTACCTTTCTCCAGCACCGGGCTCCCTCTGTGCTGGGGAACTCTCCACCCCCTGCCGACGGCAGGTCCGAATGCACATGTGCGGCAAGAGCCGCGCCGTATTTAAACCACCAATAGGAAAGCATTACTCAATGCTTTCCTATGGACGTCCAGCGTCTTCTCACTGTGATTTTCACAGTGAGAATTGCGGAAGCGCCTCTAGCGGCTGTCAGTGAGACAGCCACTAGAGGCTGGATTAACCCTCAGTGAAACATAGCAGTTTCAGATAAACTGCTAAGTTTTCAGCTGCAGGGTTAAAACTAGGGGGACCTGGCACCCAGAGCACTTCATTAGGCTGAAGTGGTCTGGGTGCCTATAGTGGTCCTTTAGTAAGGGAACAAACAGGAGACTACTGCAGCTCTCATACTGTCCTATGTGTATACAGAACCCTTGTATCAGAGCTCTATAGAAAATATTCAAATTATTGAAATAGTTAGCAGTGTGTAAATGAATGCATGAGTATGTCATAGTGTGATCCAGGCACACTTTAATGAGAGCCAGATTGTCCTCACTATCCCCTATTCAGTTCTATGTTGGTACTTTTGCATGAGTTTGGGTTAGTTTTCAATGTGTTTTTTTTTTATAAGAAAGTTATGATTATTTCTGTAAAAAACCTCATTATCACAGGAGAAAAAAAAAGTGTTTTTAATTTTTTTTTAAATTAGTTGTTTTTACCGCACACTCGAACATAGGCCTTGATTTAATATAATATGTATAGGCTTGTCACATGATTTAACATTTTTGGAAAAAACTTTTAGAATGATTTAATAATTAGAAAAAATATTTTTAATATTTCGCTATTTTTTTGTGTATTTTAACATTTTGAAGAAAAAAAATATATTTTAACAGTTTGTCCAGCAGTAATAAATCATTTGAAAAGTTTATCCAAAAATATTAAATCAAGGTGACAGGGGCGACAGTGCAGCATAAAATGAACTGTCGGGCCACCGACTAAGTGGAGAATTATTTTACCGTTATATTTCTGATTCTTTGCAGAGATTTAACATGGAAAAAACAGGTTCTAAATAAGGAGACATCACCATGGAAATCAGTAGAAAAAATAACATTTTGCCATAAATCACCATTTATGTTGTTTTTTTTTTTTATGACTTGTTACTTAGCTTTTCAGTAAAGTTTGGATAAAAAAAATGTAAAAACTATCAGAAGATGGAAAATGGTTTGAAAAAACAAACTGATTTTAACATTAAGCTTAGCGGTCAGTTAAGTCACTTTGTTTAATGTTGTCTAGGTAATGTAACATTTTAACCTATTGTCTCCCTATAGGCTTGTCAATAACACCATTACAAATGAGGGAGCCAATCTTTTGTCTAAGGCCATTGAGCACAATACTGTCATCGAAGAGATTTGGTAAGATTTTAAACATATTTGTTTACCAGACATTGTTTTTTTCGTAATTGTGAGGCTTAGAATGCTTACTAGCCTCTTCCCTCCCATCTCTGTTTCAATTACTGCATGATTTGTGATCCCATATATTTGCAAAAACTTTTCATCCACCCAGTGAATAAATAACATTTGGCACTTTTGCATAATTACATTTTTTAGGTATTTATGAAGAGAAATCTATACATGACATTAGTGTTTTATCCTACACTATGATCATTATGCATCATTAGTGTTGTTGTTGTTTTTTTTATTAACTTTAAAAAAACTTGCTTGTGACTGGGTTGAAGTAATATTCAAAGCACCATAACCACTACAGTGTAGTATACCAGGAGTATCCTGATGTCCCCATTATTGTAAATAACCAAGCTGTTTTAGTGCAACTTAACTTCCTACCTGGAGTCCATCAGGTATACCTTCCTGCCTCCACCACGTCCGATGGAGTGCCAAAAGCTATGGGCTTCTGGGCTTATCACAAAATGAGAACTTCTGGTGTTAGAAGCTGTGACCAGGGGGCCCACGTAAAAAGTTAAAGTGTTGTAAATCGGATTGACTACTTACAACAAAGGGGAATACGAGGGTACACTTTGTACCATAAGCACTAAAGTGTGCTGTAGTGGTTATGGTGCATTGAGTGTTCCTTTAATGAAAAATGTGAAGGCCCAAACTACTATTGATATGTGTGTTAATCATAACATCTCTGCTGTCTGCCTAATACAGCAGATTATACTGCAAAAGTGCTTCAATTTGTGTGTGTCTGTCAATGTGTGTGTGTATATGTGTGTGTGTGTATCTGGTAGTGTGTGAGTATGTTTGCCAATGTGTGTGTCTGGCTCTATGTATAGATGATCCTGTGTGATTGAAAATATATATCGGTATAATTGTGACCCGGGGATGTTTTTTTCTGTGAGTGTGTGTGTGTGTGTAATCTAAAATGTGTGTGTCTAAATGAGCCCCCCGGAAATCTGAATGGTAAAATGTTGGCAATAGCTGATATGGAAAAATTCTCCAACTACGCTAAAGTCTTATCTTGGCTATTTTAGCTCACATTTTGTCATTACTGATTCATGTGGAAAATAAAATCATATTAATCACATAAATTCCTTTTTCACATGGAAATGAGTAATATGAAAGGAACTCACAGTGAAATCACAGCAAAGACGACTGAAGCATTCTTGTGGCCTGGTCTCTCAGGGTCTCAGTGCAAAAAACAACAAAACACACTTTTTTTTCGTTTAATTTTTTTTGGATTTTTCTCAAATTGTTGAGGAAATTTCACTACACCCATGCAACACGTAGGATGATATTATGGTCATAGGCTCTGAGTATGTGATTTTATTACAGCTACAATTGTTGTATACGTTTGCAGTACTTACCTTGAACTGGCTTGACAGTCTTGTGTAGAATTTATACAGTTCTCTAGCACAGTGTCATTGTATTGGCAGTAAAACCATATTAATAAATCTGCCCCTCTGTCTATCTGTATCACTTATAATGAGAGGGTCAGGAGTGCTTATATCCCAGCTGTTTGTTCCAAGTGTAAATAGTAATGTAAAGGGACACTCCAGTGCCAGGAAAACAATCCGTGTTCCTGGCACTGCAGGTCCCCTCTCCCTCCCACCTCCCAATCCCTGGTTGCTGAAGGGGTGAGGGACATCGGCGGTGGTTTCGGGTCACCGTCGCTCCTCCTCTTCATTACGTCGTCTGTTGGGGGAGAGACCGATCCCACCGGCCGGCCACGGAGACCTAATGCGCATGCACGTCAATGCCGCGCACGCGCATTAGAGCTCTCCATAGGAAAGCGTTGAAAATGCTTTTCAGTGCTGTCCTATGGGGAATTGAGCGATGCTGGAGGTCCTAACACAGCGTGAGGACATCCAGCGACGCTCTAGCACAGGTTTTCTGTGCTATGGACCAGGAAGTGCCCTCTAGTGGCTGTCTAGAAAGCCACTAGAGGTGGAGTTAACCATGCAAGGTAATTATTGCAGTTTATAAAAAACTGCAATAATTACACTTGCAGGGTTAAGGGTAGTGGGAGTTGGCACCCAGACCACTCCAATGGGCAGAAGTGGTCTGGGTGCCTGGAATGTCCCTTTAAACAGTGGGACTAGGAATGTGTGGCAATTTGTCGTGAACTGAAAAATGGAATAGCCATGTTCAGCCTAAAGTAACCAAATCAGTTTAGAATTTTTCAAAATCAGCTATTTTGGCCTAACTTTGTGATTTGTGTTTTCATTCACTACATTGTGCTGTTTAGTGAATAAACCCCTAATAACAGATTGCAGTGTACACATCGCTCAGCTACAGTCCTATTTTTACCGCGCTGCTTATTGGAAAGGACTGAGTTTAAATCGCATGGACATTTATCGAACACACAGGATCATAGAATTGAATACTTGCAGTGATAGCTTTGGGGATGAAATAGAGAATATTACAATATAAATTATTTCTAAATTTGATTTTTTTTGTTCTCTTTTGTCTTTATTCAGTTTACAAGGCAACTCACTTACCCAAGATACCGATCACCTTTTACAAACCAGCAGCCGAATCTTTTGTCAATGAGTTCATGTTGGTTGAAGTTTGACATATAGGAATTTGGAGAAGAGAGACATCTTGCATTGTCTGCTGTATTCATGAACTCATCAGTGATGGGTAACGGCAAGCTCTGAGGACAATCGTGAGTGCATAACACTAGCTACATCCCGAGGACTGGCATTTCTTCCAAACAGCACAACAGACAGTAATTCTAATTAGGCACATTGTATAGTAAAAACGACATATACCTATGTGGAATCCGGTTTGGAAACCTTACATGATGTAAATTTGTGAGAATACCCTTTTTTGACAATTGAATATGCACATAGTGGACTTTTTGCTAGCTGTATAAATTGTGAAATCATTAAACTATAAAGATGCAAGCTGTAAATACTTAAGGGACAAAACGTGCAGATTTCAGTAGAAACATCTGTAAATGAGTCTTGTTACACCCCCTTATCTGTTAATGAGAGCACTGGTCCTGCAACTTCCTGGTTTGGTTTCGTTAGTTCAGTGGAACTAAACTTAAGAGGCAGCAATTGCTCAGAACACCTGCCTTGCAAAGACTTCTCATTGAGCTGCACTGGAAAGTCTGATCGGACAGCCACAGAAAGTCTGGGCGGGGTTAGAAGAGGAGGGCTTGCAAAGGCTGCTGACAAGAGATCTGCAGCTTTTGCAAGTTGTTTTAAAGGGACACTATAATCACCAGAACAACTACAGATTATTGAATTTGTTCTGATGAGTAGAATCATTACCTTCAGGCTTTTTGCTGTAAACACTGTCTTTTCAGAGAAAATGTAATGTTTACATTACAGCCTAGTGATAACTTCACTGGCCACTCCTCAGATGGCTGTTAGAGATCCTACCTGGGTCATGGCTGCCTAAAATGCATCCAAACGTTCAGTATCTCCTCCCTCTGCATGCAGACACTGAACTTTCCTCATAGAGATTCATTGATTCAATTCATCTCTATGAGGAGATGCTGATTGGCCATGACTGTGTTTGAATTGTGCTTGCTCTGCCCCTGATCTGCCTCCTTGTCAGTCTCAGCCAATCCTATGGGGAAGCACTGTGATTGGATCAGGCTACCACTTCTGATGATGTCAGCAGACTGCTTGTTTTTTTTAGGCAAACAGCATGCAGATCTACAGCTTCAGGCTTGAATACAATATATTTATGGAGGCATGAGGGGCCCAGTGGGGCTAGATGGTGGTTTTAACACTATAGGGTCAGGAATACATGTTTGTTTTCCTGACCCTATAGTGATCCTTTAAGTCAGTGTTTCCCAACCCAGTCCTCAAGGCACACCTACCAGTCCAGGATTTAGGGATTACCCAGTTGTGTCTAAGGTGTTTTTTTTCTTCTTTGTAAAAACACCTTAGACACAACTGGGTAATCCCTAAATCCTGGACTGGTAGGTGTGCCTTGAGGACTGGGTTGGGAAACACTGCTTTAAGTTATACCCACAATGACTAATAGAGTTATACCCAAAACTGCATAATTAAATACATGCATGTTTTCATTGTGGGCGTATATACTATATAGTGATTTTTATTTTGTATTTGGGCAGTGGAATTTCCCTTTACCATAGTTCATGTGATAGCTAGGGAAATGGGAATGCTGAATAATTACTATTACAAGCACTTTTTGTCTGTAGGTATTTTTATTTTAATTGCTGGAAATGAACCACACTTTGAAATGTTTCATTTATTTAGATAGTAGGTCAGTATCTGGTTATAGATAGTCATTTTTATAGTAGTATGTAAATGTTACATGCAAGAAACCCACTGCAATGTATCTGTTTAAAACCAACACCCATGGCTTCCTTCCTTCATTCGGAATGCACTGAGGACATGTTACTCTAGGTCAGTTAGCCAATTACACCAGGGGAAGGCTAGAATAATTCTGCAAGAACACACAGAAATTGGACAATATGGAATGGTTTTCACCATAAATCCCATCCCACCAAATATATTGGGTTTAGTGCATGCTGCTACTAGTAAAAGGAAAGCTGGAATTACTAATTGTGAGTACTCGTCAATAAGCCATACTTGGTTATTTACTAGTAGGAGATTAGTGGGGAGTTTAAAATGAATTATGCACATTTTCCCACAATCTCAGTTTAAAGTCAGAGAAGCTGAATGGGAAGCATAACTCACTGGGAGACTATTTGCAGTTCAACTTCTTTGGCCTTATATTTGAAATTCACTTTGAATTACTGACAATTCTTACTTTAGTAAATAATCCTGATTGTGTTTTATACAGAAATCTGTTTTTAATGTGTGTGTGTGTATATATATATATATATATATAGCTATTTTCATTTCTTTAATTTAGGTTTTGGCAAGAAAGCGTATATGTAAAATATATAAATATTTGTAGTTTATTTTTATGTTTTTTTTGTGTGTTTTTTTTTTAAATAAAATAAAAATATACAGTATCTTTGAAATGTGTTATTTTATTGATGTTAATATGCACACTATATTTTCCAATCCTAAATTAACAGACAAGTGGTTAGGTAGATTTCATTATATCAAGGCAGTTCTGTATAAAATAGTACTGTTTAAAAGGGCAGAAAAAAAGAAAAGTGTTCTTTGGGATTATCAGTATTTAGTAGCAAACAGAAACATTAACCCCTTAAGGACCAAACGTCTGGAATAAAAGGGAATCATGACCTGTCACACATGTCATTTAAATATAGGTGGGGTAAATAAGATGGATTTCGATGCGTCTAAACTCTTGAGATGCTGTGAAACATTGCATAATACTTTTTATAATTTTTAGCATTTATGTCTCAACATTTCCTGTGTAAATTACAGTTTTCCTGTTTGAGCATAAACAGCAAATAAGAGAGGGTCAAACAAGGGTTAAAAAGTCACTGTGGGTACCATAACCTCTGTATCGAACTGAAGTGGTTAAGGCGCAAAAGATCCCGTCTGTGCAGCTTTTCTTCGTAAAGATGTTTGGTTACAGAATAAAATCCTTTTTTCTGTGTTAAAGTCTTAATCCAAGATGATGCCTGCCCCTGCTAGAATAACTCCTATCATACTCAGTGAGATTCTGGCTGAGGCTATGGGTAATTAAAATATACATCTGATACAATGGGATAGTGAGGTAACGTGCTATGTGTAAAATAACTGTAATCAACCTCTTCCAGATTTTTGCTGAGCCGGATGAGAATTTCAATCCACTTCTACAGGAAGTCATCATTTTACTTCAAGTTCACTAGAAGGAATACATTCCTAAAGTATACTTTTTTGGTTTGCAAAAAAAAAAGCCACCAGTATCTCTAGGAGAAGCTTTGGTTGGAGATTTATCCTCAGTGCTTCTCTTTGCTTCTTTTTCAATGGCCGCACTTCTAACAAGGAAGTACATTCTGGACATAAAGGAGATGGAGATGGATCTTCATTCGCTACAGAGGCCAGTTTGCAGCTAATGGAATGTTTTTAAGGCTTTGGAAATATTTGTGAAAATTTTAGGAAAATGTTATGCACTAAAAATAGTTACTAAAGTGAATTTAAAGTGAATTTCAGCTTTAAGGCCAGAGTAGCCATACTGAAAGCATAGCTGAGTGATTTTTCGGCTATACGGACAGTTCGGCTATTTTGGCCTTAGATTTGAAATACACCTTGAATTCTCAGTTTAGTGAATAACCCTGAGTGGCATTATGTTAACAGCAACACGGTGCATACAGGGCCTTGTCCAACTGACAAGCAGTGTGGGAATCCAGTAGTGGTGCATTTTTTTCTCAGTATAATCAATTTTGCTTTGGTGAAATGCTCTAATAAATCAAGTCCAAAGTCCATGAAGTCTGTCATAGTTAGTTACTATAACTTCTACTTGCTGCTTGTGCTGTGTGTATTAATCTGAAAACATTTACTATTCCTAGAATGCTTAACCTCCAGAATTCTTCGATTGGACAACTGAGAAAGGAGAAATGCATTATTGTAATTGGGTTTATTGTGTAACATTGTTGATATTAGAGGATATATGTTTTGAAAGCGTATTGGGAAAAAAAAACTGTTCTCTTCAATTCTAGGAAAGCAAATGTCTGTCCCAGCTCACACGATACCTCTCAACCACTTTACTGCTAATATTAAAGATGTATGGGCAATTTAATGGATATAGTGCAGATACCTTCCGTGATCTTTAGGGGGAGCAAAAATAAGTGCACACGTTTTAAATAAGGTATGATACAAGTACAGTGCTCATGCACATATTAAGGCAGAATGGTAATGGGTGGCAGTTGTGTGGAGGTTGACTGCAGATGTTGTCACTCATGCAAGTCCCCTAAGCAGAAACACAAAATACCACCGACACACATTCTAAAAGATCTTAAAAATCTGTGGCCAAGCTGCAGGCTGCACATATGCAAAACATGCCTGAATCTAAGGGATTATGACCTACATCTATAAATAAAACATTGGGCTCCCCTGAATCTCTAATCAAGCACCTTGTATGCTTTATGAGAATCCAGATCTGCTCACAGAGCTGTCAACACACCAACTACAGTAATAGCCCAGCCCCTTGGATATCCTTTACTCACAAAAGTTACCAGTTGATCCTTTATATTAAAGAGGATAAATAGTTACGCTTTAAAGGACCACTATAATCACCCACATCCTGCTACCTCAATGAAGTGGTTAAGGTGCAATAGCTCTGCCATTTTTCTCCAACAATGTAAAACATTACCATTCCGGAGAGACAACAATGTTTTCAAACACACCTCTTGTGGCTGTTGTTTCACCTGATTCTTCACTGATAGAGGCATTTTCTTTGTGCATTGGGGCAATTGCTGTGCATGCACATTAAGTCCACAATGCACCTTGCTGGCAGAAGTTGGAGCACAGTGCAAATATAGAATACCCCATGATTCTCTCATTTTTGTGAGCACCAATGCAGTTAGTCAGAATTTTGGGAACATTATGCTAATCCTTCCTGGCACACAGTGTGAATGTAGAATAGCACATGATTCTGCTTGAGAACACTAGATGTATCTGTTTTAGCTGTGTCCAACAACTCAAATTCTTGGTAATTTATGCCCAAACAAATCGATCCGCCTGGAACGTACCCAGATGTATCAATTTGTTTCATCGTAGATTAATAGGAATTTGATTTGTTCTAAGCAGCTGAAACTAATTTGTGCACAGGTCTAGTGAACACCCATACAACCAGAGATAATCATGGAAACATTATGCCAAAATATTGAGTCAAACCCTTTAATTTCTTTCACATTTATTTATGTTGCAGCCTTATGCAAAATCTCTTTACTTTTTTTCACATCCGTCTACACTCAATATCCCATAAAACCAAACCAAAGCACATATATTGACATCATTGCAAATTTATTAAACAGAAAAATCTGAAATATCACATTGATATAATTATTTGGATCCTTAATTCAGTACTTAGTTGAAGCACCTTTGGCAGTGATTACAACCTCAAGTATTTTTGAGTATGATGGGACAACCTTTACAGATAGATCGGGGCCACCGGTGCACTGTCAGACATATTATGGCTACAGGAAGCCATTTTCAGGTCTCTTCAGAGACGTTTGATTGGGCATAAGTCCAGGCTCTGGCTCAGCCAATGAAGGACATTCACATAGTCCCTAAGATACTCTTGCATTGTGTTGACTGTGTGCTTAGGGCCTTTGCCCTGTTGGACTAAATACTGATGGATGTATTGACGTATATGTTTGGGTTCAAATAGAATATAGACATCAATTCCACCTTAAAATATGTTTCTTGAAAAGTGACATTTTAGTGAGAATTGTTTTATAAAACTGAGAACTGAAATGGGTATAATTTTATGTAATAGAGAGTATCACCATGGGAATTATTTACTTAACAAAGGATAAGCTACTGACTTCCTCTGTCTTTGTCCATTCTCAGAGTTTTCTTGGGCTCTCCCTAAATTAAAAGGGTAATCAAAATGTGGACGCGGTGCTCACTGTGCCTAGAGGGGCTTCAGCTATGCTGCGCTGACAAGGACCAAAGATTGCCAAATCTATCGTCTGGGTTTGCTGTATTTCTTTTCTGGACTGAAGTGTGCAGAAAACCTGTCCAGTGTGATTAGACTGATATGGGTTCCCTTTATAATGGACTAACTGTAGGGCAAACTACTGAGTTTCTCAGAGTTCTCATATTCTCTGTTTTTGTCACCAGGATCAAAGTCACACAGAGAGACAGGATCTGAAAATCTGGACTGTCCCACCAAAACGGTTGGGAAGTCTGAAACAGTCACAAATCACCCAGAGTCACACATCCCCCCCCCATCTGTCCCCCCCCCCCACACACACACACAGCCTTCCCACACACTCCCTAAAAGAACACTATAGGATCAGGAACACAAATGTATTCCTGACCCTATAGTGTTAAAACCACCATCATTTAGTCCCCTTGCCCCCTAAATATAGTAAAATCTTACTTTTATTTCAATCTGCAGCTGCTGCCTCGGCACCTGATCTACCTGCTTGGTTGACATAATCAGAAGTGATTCTCTGAGCCAGTCACAATGCTTTCCAATAGGAAACTGTCAAGGAGGCAGATCGGGGAAGAGCCAGCTCAAGCCAAACATAGCCCTGGCCAATCAGCAACTCCTCATAGAGGTTAATTGAATCAATGCATCTCTATGAGGAAAGTTCAGTGTCTCCATGCAGCGGGCAAAGTGCTATTGGTGAACCAGCCTTTTCTATTCTGGTTCTTTCATTTTGAAGCCACGCCCCCAAAAATTCTAATTCGTCCGTTTTGGTGGGCATTGGCGTCATGACGTCGGCACATACACACCATGGTGACGTCATTTGCGTCATGGTGCATTGCGTGCCGCGTCATAAAGGGGGCAGAGACACAGTGGCCAGTGTTGGAACCGCTGGACGGAAGCCTTGGACTGAGGAGAGGATCCCTCTCCTTTTGCAAACAGTCCCCAACCTAGGTAAGCATGGCAGGAACCCTGACAATAATAAAGAAAAAGAGAAAACAAGAATTAGATATTTCGACAAGGGGGAAACAAAGAAGGAATAAGAATGAGAGGAGAAGGCATAACAGGATCTAACCGTGATGTAGGGCCCAAATGTATAGGGAATGACCATTGGGAATAAAATAATAGAGATATGGCTGTGGTGATGGATTAAAATAAGGAATATGGCAATAATGAGATATGGTACAGGTAAAAATGAGGGGATATGGCTATAGGAGTGTTTGGCAATAAAAGGTTGGGATATGACTTCAGGGCAAAGAAATGACTGTATGTGGTAGTGGGTGGCAACAATATATTGTGGATATGGATATTGTTGAATATTGGATATACTTATGGAAATAAGATCAAGGTAAGTAAGATCATTCATTTACAAAGCAGTGTCTGCACCAATAACTAGTTAGTATTCGGACACACATAAAGACCAGCTTCTCTGACAATTACATTGATGCTGATATGGACAGGATACTATATGTCTCTGCAGAACTAGGTTCTGATTGATGCAGTGCCTCACCATGAAGTTTAACCGTTTCCTTATATTATTTGCACAATGTATTACTTGGTAGGTACTAACCACTGCGTACCGGTAACTCCACAAGTCTTGCCGCTTTGGAGATGCTCTGAACAAATCATCTAGCCATCAAGAAACATTCTATTTGCTTTACAATACAAAATAAAAACAAGTGTACAGACATTGTTCAACACCCGTGTTTACTAGTGCCGATATGTGGCAATACGGTATGTTGGGAGTTTATGGAGTCTTTAATGGGAAATGGACATGTAAATTGACAAGGGAATTACAGATGACCTCAAATATTTGTGTATTTTAGTCAACTTTACCCTGACTATATATATATATACACCAAACTAAAGTTTAAAAAAAAATGAGAGGAAGTCAAGTATTGAGCAAACTCACCATGCAGAGGAACAGAGACTTTCGTCATCGAGAAAAAAAAAATGTTTGCCGCGTTCTAGACAACATTGTTTACTTATTAATTCAACATATAGAAAGAATCTGAAAAAACTTTTTAAATGACTACAAGACACAGCTGTGGCCCATTATCGTGAGAGTTGTACGAATTCATTGGTTGGAACTAAAAGAAAGCTCTAAAAACACCCAAAATATAGCTGGGGTCTGTAGTGGTTATGGTGCTTGGAATATTGTCCAGTTGCTGTTATCACAATTTCCGCCATTGTGTAATCACATCTTGTAACTGAACTCTGGAAGTCCCCCTAGCTGAAAAACTGTCAAAGCAGAGGTTATTCAAAGGAAACTGTCACTTTTATGGAAATCACAACACTGAATTAAACACCCAAAAAAGCATTAGATGAGGAGAAACTGATTTGTTTCTTTTTAACTCCTCCATTTAGTATGCTTAATGACATTAACTGACATGGAGACAAAATGGCGGTGCTCAGTTCCAGGATATTGGTAATTATAGCAGTGTGGATTTCCACATTTTCATTTTTATTTTCAGACCTCACAAACACATACTAATTAAATCTAGGAAATATGTAACCGGACGTTTAGTTACCCTGCAAGAGAATAAACAAAAATAGCTTGGCACCTGGTAACAGGCAAACGTTATTGGAGGCCCACTTAGTTCAACTCTGTGGCCAGCGAATAAAGGTCAGGGCTATAAAGGTTTTGCTTGGAGTTGAATCAGTTGCCACTTTTCTTTCTTCAATTTTTTTGTTGTTGCAACAATTAATATATAAATTAATCGTAGAATCTGACCTGTTAATTTCTTATGGTAATTTCCAGATTTCTCCCCTTTTTTCCTGAAATGGAGGTAGGATGAGGTGATTACAACCACAAATCCAGAAGGATCCACTCTAAACGGAAAAATGTTTGTTGTTTTTATTTTGAAGAGTCAAGGAGTAGTTGTAGATACACATCACTATACCCACCTAGAAAAATTGATATGGAGTCTTGTTTATTATCCACCAAGCCTGGAGATTCTGGATGAAACCCGTCAAGCGTTTAGGAAGCAGAGAAATGTTCTATGTTATTCACATACCAAACCTATATTGACGATGGCTAGGATTATTCTAACCTTTAACCCCCTGTTTGTTACCAGTGAGGAGAGGAATTCCATAACCGTAACCCAAACTGGAACGCAGTCTGCGCCAAATATGTTTTGGATGATGTAGTGATTCACACTATTTATATATATATACAATACTGCTGTTTATCTTGCTCAGGAATCTATTCTCTCTATGTAGCAATAGAGTTGAAGTCATGGATAGAGGACAAATCTGGGGTCAGTCCATTACGGCATTAACTTGAGTCCATTTTATGATTACCTAGAGAAGCAGCTGACTCAAACTCTGCCCTTGAGGAAGTACTGGAGACCGTATCTTCAGAAGGATATTGATAGCTTAGAGAGGGTTCAGAGAAGGGCTACTAAACTGGTTCATGGATTGCGGGATAAAACTTACCAGGAAAGGTTAAAGGGTCTTAACATGTATAACTTGGAGGAAAGACGAGACAGGGGGGATATGATAGAAACATTTAAATATATAAAGGGAATCAACACAGTAAAGGAGGAGACTATATTTAAAAGAAGAAAAACTACCACAACAAGAGGACATAGTCTTAAATTAGAGGGACAAAGGTTTAAAAATAATATCAGGAAGTATTACTTTACTGAGAGGGTAGTGGATGCATGGAATAGCCTTCCAGCTGAAGTGGTAGAGGTTAACACAGTAAAGGAGTTTAAGCATGCGTGGGATAGGCATAAGGCTATCCTAACTGTAAGATAAGGCCAGGGACTAATGAAAGTATTTAGAAAATTGGGCAGACTAGATGGGCCGAATGGTTCTTATCTGCCGTCACATTCTATGTTTTTATGTTATTTCCGTCAGTTGCTGAGAGTTCAATACCTCTTAAATATGTTGCTTAGTCCTGGTCCCATGTTTGAACTCTTGGTCATGCCTGACATCAGTGAAAAAACCACAGCAATGGAAGTATTATTTTATATCTAGAATCAGCTGAGTTTCTGAGTCATAGACACACTGGTTCAGATTATTTTCACTCCCCACTTGTTTTAAGAATAATGCAAACTCAGTAATATCTTTTTGGACTCTCACTAGAATTAAAGTTCTGTTGTGTCCATTGGTAGGATGACATATTTGCACCCACTAATATATAATCAGAAGGACAACATACATTAGTATCTCAAAATGATATAAAAAAAAGGAAAGTTTTTTTTAAATATCTCCTGCTATAGTTGGTAAAAGTTTTTACAAGTCATGCTGCCATAGGACGAGTGGATTAAGTTTTCATTGAGTCTCACCAAGTTCAATCAGAACACAAAGCCTGGACTTTATTTCTGTGAGTAGTAGGCGTTACAGACCTAAATTGGGGAACAATACCATATGGAAGTGCAGTCAGTGCTCTTACATTGGATCAGGCTGTTTCAGCTAGTGGTTAGCGATTGTTTTGGGATTTGAGATTGCCTGTTAACACAACTGGCTTTTAGCCAAGACTGGTCAGTACTTGGGTCCTCTTGACCTAACTCGAGATTTAGTAAAAAGATCTGTAGGGAAATATCCCAAACATCTCTTCACAAAGTAAAACCTCCCCCTTCGACCTTCAACTCAATCAAAGAGTATTTGAAAAAAATTTAAATACGAGACAGACACACTTGTTAGTACAACTACCCAGGATAGGGCAGAAGAACAATATTTATCAAGTATAGTGGTTTATAAAACATTAATTCATTCTTTGCGTCCATTAACATCACCCCTAATAAGCGGATCCTCAAGTGTAATTTTTCATAATTTGATTACCATCATCAGACAGAAGGCAAATTAATAAACTGTTATTTAAGCATAAAGTCAGAACAGTTGCACTGCTGCAAGAACCTAGGGGTTAATTACTAACATCTCCCTGCTGGTGTGGAATAAAGCACCATATTAACAAAAAAGGATAAAAATTAAATAAATTACATATATATATATATATAAATAAAACGCCTATAAAAGAGGTCCTTAGTTTGATTAACACATGTTGATGCTTTTTTCCCCTCTCATCTATATACTTGGACCAATCTTGTGCACCCTTGTGGATTGAAAAGAGCACATTCTGACTGTTGCTAACACAGTATATATTTACTCATAACCAGCGTCAGTGCATTATGAAGGGCTCCATAAAATTACATAGCAAATATATCCAAAGAACGCTAAGCTAGAGTACATCATTACTTCTATTTATCATTATGATGTTTTTTTAAGAATTGTCCGTATGGCTGCGACATGAATGGATTTAAAAAAAAAAAAAAAAAGGGTTTCCTACGTCACTGGACCTTACAAAACCTGTTTTTTGGGTGTGATTGCATTCACATTTTCAGCAAAACCAGACAATGCTTCTCAGTTTAGTTATTTGTATTTGAGTGTAGAGCATTCAGCCAGGAACCCAGTCTCTGATAAAAGAACACTTGACTCTAGAGTCTAAATCAACTATGCAGCAGGGAGATTTTAGGAAGTGACCCCCTTGATTTAATTCCTTTACATTCAAAAACATATGCTGACAATACAGGAAAACACAACCAGTTTCTCAGTTAAGAATGATGTACCGGATATAAAATGGGTTGTAATACATTATTGTTATAATGTACAGATAAAAGGTAATCGCGGCAGTGATCCAAACCCCACCATGGCTATGGCCGGTACAAACCTATGTTTCACTCTTCAATAGTTACAGAAGTACAATTAGCACAAATGTCTACAAGTCAGATTGCAAAACAGTTGCCTATTTTGAGCATAGACTAGTGGTTCTCAGAGTCTGTCCAATCACAGTCATGTTTGGGTAGCTGCATTAGAAAATGTACAACTCTTAATAATTGAAAACGGGTCTTTCTGTGTTTCTGTTGGAGTATACTCTAGTAATTGATGATGATAATGGATTCAAGTAAGAGCGGGTGAGCTACACTAAAATCCAGTTTACAGTCTGTGACGGGAGAGATGTTGGTACATTTGGCATATCTCAATTTGCCACCAGCTCATTAATTATTGGTCATCTCTAGATGGCAAATCACTGAAAATAAATTGACATGGTAGCCAAGAAGACATCTAGGGAGTTCCAACGGTCAATTATCTTCTTGGAAGCAAATATTAAGGGAGTTAACCTCCCCACTCACGCAGTAACAAACAGCAGCGCAGTATTGTCTACATTTCTTGAACTATTTTAATTTAGGATATAGGAATATCGAAAGTGTCTCCAATAAATATGTAATTCCTTAAAGTTAAGTGAAGGAAAACAAGTTTGAGATTTCATAAATCCTAGTTTAAAACCTTGTTCCATCAACCAACAGGGCAGAACTTTTTAAATTCTTGGCACACAAATCACAATGCATACAAAAACCACTTGCAGTTTCTTATATTCACATTTAACAGACATTTAAAGCCAGTGGGGAAAAAAAATCTAATCACCAAATTTACTAAATAACAAGATAATTGAAAACAATTCCAATTCCAGATGGAAAAAAAATGTATTTTTTTTGTAGATATGTTTAAAATGTCCGATACAATAAATAATTATTACAGTGATTTCAGAGAGTCAGTAGCACTCATACTTTGCACGTCGACAAATGGAACACTGCATTAGCCTGAAACATCTGGAGGTGGCTTGAGAGTTGAAGAATAGTTGTACGAACTGTCAATCATTGTTCCGTATTTTGAAGTTTAATGGGAATGAGACAAAGACTGAAAAGTCACTCTACAGTTGTTAAAAATGCAATAGTAGGCCTACATGTAGAACTGTCCATCGACCTTGTGGGAAAACACTTCTTCAGATAATAAGGCCTATAAATAAAACTTTCACACTAAATACAAATGCACTTTTTTTAATGTAAAAGTGATGATGCTGACTAACAGATCCTGTATGCAAGCCTCCGTGTATTCTTACAGCAGACCATCTCTGAACAATGACAACTTCACAACCTTTTGTTGCAGCATATTTTACAATGTACCATGATGGCTGAAATAGTAATACCCGTAAAAAATTAAATTAAACATTAACAAAACCCATACAAAAAGTGAGTGATTGTACCTCCTAAAAACAATTGCATAGCTACAAGAAATTAAATTATGGTGTCACTATTTAGAACTGGTAAAAAACAAACAAACATTGGGACACGTGTTAACCCTTTCATCCCTGAGGATTATAGTAGTTTGCCTGTTCTTTAAAAGTGATGTAAACGGGCAAGAAGTCATATTTACTAGTGATTCTAAGACCATGTTACCTAAAAACTATAAAGACTACATTAACAAATTCCATGCAGATTGTAATGTTTTTATTTTGATCATATCTCCTTTGAGTCCACCTAGACCTATGGCATTAAAGGTTATAATGGTCTAACACAGTCATTCTTAACCCCAGTGCCACATCCCATAATTTGGTGTCTAGTGGTTGGAGTAGCCACGTCACCATCAGGTCCCAGGTAATTGCACATAACACATTAACTGTAGCAGCCCTGCTTCCTGCGATGCAATTAAACAGTGGTACGCAACCCAGTCCCCAGAGCACACCACCAATTGTCCAGTACAGTATTTATGCATTTTTAATATCTTTTCCTAATGGTAATTCTGGACTGGTAGTAGAAGTCATTGAAGACTAATGGAATAAGGACTCATACTATAAATGATTTAATGTTGGGTTTTGCAAAATGTATTTTAATAATTATACCTCATCTACAGAAAGGATCACTCAATGAATATTGTAAGTGAAGAATGAGTGTCTTACCTAATGTAATGTATGTGATTTAAGTCTTTAAACAAAAAAAGTCAATAACCATTGGTCTATGATGATTTGGAACAACACAGTAAATATGGTATAAATAGGAGAGGCTAAAATGCTGCATTAAGGTTGGCACACCTTACAGAAGTTGTAACAGAATGAAGTTATTTTCACCCCTGTTGTAAGTGGCCCCTATTAGAGGTTTGCAAGTTGCAAAGATTATTGCAATAAAATAAATATATCACAACCAAAGACATAGAAAAAGGGCATATTATGTTCAATTTAGCTGACGCACGTTTCTACAAGCCAAAAAGCAAAGCCAAACAATTATTTTATTTGTAGAATAGTAAGGCAGTAGTTTGTTCTAATGTAAGCTCGTTTAGCTTACTCCTTGTTATTCCTTACTCTATATCATACATAAAATCTTCTCATTCATTTCATATTCCATTGTTCTCTGCAGAATATGATTCTTTTGAACAAAAACTAATAAAATCTGCAGAGCTTGTGCCCCAAAGAACAATCATAAGTGTTTACTCAGGACTTGGAGCTAGCAAGTCTTGCAGTAAAGTGTAGAGTGCAGAGGTAGCACTTTTGAATAGCAATACATATTCACCCTTTCTCCACCAACTCTTTCTAAGGCCTCCAAATACAAGCACTAACTCTAAACATTTAAGTATCACTCCCACCTTCTCCCCTCTATTCTGTCATTCTGCTCCCGGCAACTGGTAATGTCTCTCCAAACTCTGGACCCTCTTCCACTGACCTGCCTTGTGCCAACACCAGAAACCCCCGAACGGTTCGCCGTGGACGGCGAACATATGTGGTAAACTTTGACCCTGTACCTCACAGTCAGCAGACACATTCCAGCCAGTCAGCAGCAGACCCTCCCTCCCAGACCCTCCCACCTCCTGGACAGCATCCATTTTACATTCATTGTGAAGCTGCATTCTTAGTGAGCTGTCCAGGAGGTGGGAGGGTATGGGAGGGAGGGTCTGCTACTGATTGGCTGGAATGTGTCTGCTGACTATGAGGTACAGGGTCAAAGTTTACCACATATGTTCGCCGTCCGTGGCGAACCGTTCGGCGAACCATTCGGGACATCACTACCCACCAATCCTTTACCCATCCCATGTAACCATCCCTTTACATGTTCCTTTTGCACTGTCCTGTGGAATAGATGCTCTGTGTGCAGCACTCTCTGCTGTCTTTGACACTGTTGATCATGTCCTCCTTCTTCAAACTCTTCAATCCCTCGACCCCTGAGACACTTTTCTCTCATGGTTCAAATCCTATCTCTCCCAAAGCTCATTCAGCATCACATTTCCAACGATACCCCTCATCCTGTCTCGGTTTGTGTCCCCCAAGGTTCTGTTCTTGGTCCCCTTGTCTTCTGTCTACACCTCCTCTCTTAGCAAAATTATTAATTCCTTTGGTTTCTGCTACCTCCTGTATGCTGATGACATCCAGATATATTGTAAAGCGCTAAGGAATCTGTTGGCGCTATACAAATGGCAATAATAATATATCTCTTCTCTCCTAGAAAGCACCACCTGTTGCCTTTCTTCCATCTCTGATTGGATGTCCTCACACCTTCTGAAACTTAATCTCTTGAAAACTGAGTTTCTTATTTTTCTTCCTCATAATACTGATCCTCCTCTTTCTCTCTCCCTGCTATTTGATGTTACCCATATAAGCACGTCCTTGCAAGCTCGCTGTCTTGGTGTTATCTTTGAATCTGGCATCAACTTTGCTCCTCACAACCAGTTTGTTGCCATATCCTGCCATTTTCACCTTAAAATATTGCCCGGTTCTGCTAGTTTCTTACACAAGAAGCTGCTAAGGAACTTGTTCATGCTCTAGTAATCTCTCACATTTATTACTGTAATTCTCCCGTAAACCGTACTGCCTTGCTACAGTCTGTAATGATTTTTCTTTCCTGTCACTCCTCTCACAACTACTCCCTCCGTCAATCCTTACATTTGCTTCCTATACCCTTTAGGAGTCAATTCAAAATACTAACCCTTACCTATAAAGTTTTAAACATCGTTAGCCCCCGCTACATTTCGGCTCTCCGCTCTGCCATGGCCGTCTCCTATCCACTGCTCGCGCTTGCAAGACTTTGAGGTCGGCTCCGTTTCTTTGGAACTGCCTGCCCGTCTTCCCCCCTCAGACGCTCTCCTAGTCTTCAATCATCTAAGAAGTCCCTCAAAACCCATCTCTTCAGAAAATACTATGTCTTACCAGAGTAACTTCTACTTCATAAATATTACTCTTGCTCTTTCTTAAAGGCTCACACTCCCCTTATGGTATTTTCCCACCTTGTCAGTTGGTTGCTATCCCCACTCTGCCCTTCCTGTTGTGTTTGTTTGTTTTTTATACCCCACTTCCTCTAAACTGTAAACTCGTTTGAGCAGGCTCTTCATCAACCTATTGTTCCTGTAACATTTTGTAATTGTCTCATTTATTGTTAAATGTCCTACTTTATAATATTGTAAAGCGCTCCAGAATAAGTTTGCGCTATAGAAATGCTAAAAATAATAATTATTGGGGCATGTGTTCAAAATGTTTTACTTCCACAAGATGGCAGCAGAGTCTACATGGCCATAAACCTACTTAGATCATGTGAGTTGTTCATAGATATCATCTCTGGTGTATAAAACTCAACCGGTTCTATCCAAGTGTTACTTCCTTTATGTTGCAGATTGTTGAATTTGCCAATTTATAGACTTCACTATACGAATTGGAATCACACTGCTGTTAATAATTAACTAATAAGAAATAAAAAAAAAAAAGTTACACAAATATATATGTGTTTTGCCGAGCTGTATATGCAGAATAAAAATTATGTTACTAAAAATATTTAAACAGTTCAGTGATGTCCACTAAGACCCAGGAGAGGCCCCACTACTTTACTTATATTTTTGGGCAAGTTTAGAATCACATTTAGTTTTACCATGCTTGAAAATGTCTGCCACTTTTACTGGAAAATAGCACAATATATCCACTGACTGATCAAATCAATGTAAATACAAAGAACCCAGAACAACTATTTTAATGTTTAATTGCCCTTAAAAATACAATTAAGGGAGACTCCTCCATGTTTCATGAAGTGCATATTGTCCCCTGTAAACAGGCTTAGGATATGCGTAATATATTATATTTTAATGGCACTTTGATGGCTTAGGTTCCCTGACAGATTTAAACATTTATAAAAGTCCATGGTCCATGGGGGGGGAGGAGGGGGGAGGAGGCAAAGAAGCTCTCTGAGATGAAAGGGTTAAGCACCAGACAATCACAAAGAAGGGTCTAGATCAACAGGATTGAAGTCATAATTGAGAAATTCCATAAATTTAGGCTCTGATCTTTCACGTTGGCTTCTTGTTGGTACAGTATAGATTTTTTTTTTTTTTTACACTTATATGTGCAGTTTCACATTTATCATCAGTAAGAACAAATGCCAGATTTGTATGAAAATAATGAAGTCAATTATCAATTATTAATTTGGCATCTAAATTAAAGATCCCAAACCCACTTCCCTCCCCTCAAAAAAATTAATAATAATTAAAATTAAAAATGTAAGTTTTTACTAGAGATGTCATTAACTCAGTTATAAGACTGTATGTCTGAATAGTTCAAAACTGAGATCTTATTTTAATAGGAAGAAAAAGATGTGAATGCTGGGAGACGTGTATGTTAACTTTGGCCTTCCTTTTATAATAGTTCATTAGAAGGAATGATGGTAAAAGATGATCTTTCTCTTTTTGGAACAGTACGTGCAGCATTTGGAAGATCCCGGTGTGTCCTTGGTACGGATGTTTGGCACACTGATCTCGGAGGCAATCAATTGTCTTCTCTGGGATTTGCTTGACTTCATTGGATATTTTGATTGTATTCAGAGAGTCACAGCGACATAGTAACCTTAGGCTTGAAATCTGTTTTAATGCCAACTCCCAAGTTATTTCATATAGTCCGTTTTTTTTCCACCTCCAATCCATACAATTCATAGAAGAAAAGAAGGAGACCTATAGCAAATAAGTGTAAAAAATAAATAAAAATTGGTTACTATGGCCATACTGAGACATAAACCAAGCAAAATGCAAATCCACGTAACCTAAAGATATGGGTTCCGGCTGTTGCTCTGGGCAGACTGACCAGTCAGGCACTCTGATATGGCCCGATGCAAGACATCGGAAGAGGGTAACGTTGTTTGCTCAGTGTGGCGCCTACACGCAGTCTGCCCAGCTCCTTAATTATGACAGAGTAGGCACCTGTTGACCCACATGGCAGTTGCCTACCCAAGTTTACAGGGGTCTTGGTGGTGGTAGGGGGAGGGCACAGTGCTAATGGAGCTTGGATCACTGAGCTCATCCAGCACACCTTGTAATGATGGGGAATCGGAATGTGACGTTGCTCGAGCCCTGGCATCACTTCAAGTCCCGCATGCAGCTGTGCAGTATAACCGCAGTGATCCTAGCCACCCCACTGGCCACCAGGGATGGGATCCACTCCACCTCTCCCAGGTGAAAAGAGAGAGTATGTTTGTGTACGTGTGTAGGAATGTGTGTGTATATTCATTTTTTGAGTGGGTAGGGACACACTTCGCAACTTCCCAAAGATTTACTCCAAGCACCCTGACAATGATTTGAAGTGGTCATGGTGCTTGAAGTCTATATTTGCAGCATTTCAGCCCTTTGTTGCTTAAAGGGAAACTCCAGTGCCAGGAAAACAATCCGTTTTCCTGGCACTGCAGGTACCCTCTCCCTCCCACCTCCCATCCCAGGTAGCTGAAGGGGTGAAATCCCCTGCAGGTCACTTACCTGAGACCCCGCCGATGTCCCTAGTAGACAGCCACTAGAGGTGGAGTTAACCCTGCAATGTAATTATTGCAGTTTATAAAAAACTGCAATAATTACAGTTGCAGGGTTAAGAGTAGTGGGAGTTGGCACCCAGACCACTCCAATGGGCAGAAGTGGTCTGGGTGCCTGGAGTGTCCCTTTAAAGTGACTTAAAGGGACAGCAAACTAGAAAAGAAAAGTAACAATAAATACGCAATTATTATGCTTATAAATTATAATGAAATGTATAGATAGCGTTAATCTCATGATTTAGATGGGGACAAGGACAAAGTAATGTTTTATGCCAGGACAGATTGCAGTGAGGTGGCAGGAGCACAAACAGGGCCCCTGATACCAGATTGCCAGGGGGTCCTGTGAGTTGCCATGTGTAACAAGTTGTTAAATTTGTTTAAGACAGTTAAAGTAAAAGTGACATTATATTTTTCCTGTTAAACGCTTACATGATGAACCAGAAGCAAAATAAACAGTATCATAAATAAATGCACTCTTAAATGGACGTTCTACTGCCCAAAACCAAATAAAAATAAATCACTGTTTAGTAGATATATAAACACCAATGTAAACACGCATATGTTCAATTATGCTTTTTTTCATCAGGGTTGTATTTAAAAAAACTTGCAAAGCTGTAGATAGTTTGTCGGAAGCCTTTGCAAGCCCTTCCCTTCTAACCCTATCCAGACATTATGTGGCTGTCCATTCTCACTGAGACAACCAATTCAGGAAAAAAAAGTTACAAGGTTAATTTATAAAACTTCCAATTTCTATTGAAATCTACACATTTAAAAAAAAAAAAAAGGACACACTCTTCACATATAGAGCACTTCAGAAAGCTGAAGTGCTTTAAGGGTATGGAGTGTCCCTTTAAGTTGCAAAACTATTTAACTGAAAAAGATAAACAGGTTTACATTTAATGTTAAAATGTTCCTTACTCGAGGAGATTATCTGCTTATTAATTTTTTTTATACTATAGCTTCCTTTAGGACATTCTTAAAGGAACACTCCAAATACCATAACCAATACAGCACGCTGTGGTAGTTGTGGTGCCAGGAGTGCAATAGCACTCTGCTAAGTAGTCAAACCATTTTTAAATAGTTTGGCTTTTTATCGGAAGTCTGCCAGGCGCTGCTCCCTGCCTCC